CCGAAATCGACGAACCCTCGACAAACACCTCAGCAATTCAAGATGAAACGCCTAAAGAACCAACGAAACCAATCCATCAACATCAAATGACTCTTAGACCACGCAAATCAATCGTCAATACGACAACACTAGTGACCTTTCTTGTCTTACTCGTCAATATTGTAGGATTTGGAACGACAACACCATGGTATCGATGCGGACAATACGACTATTCATGTCTTCTAAGTTATTCGACAATTGCTTCAGCACTTTCCCTCTACGAATACAAGTGTGAGAATTGCCAACTCCAATGCTCGAATAAAGGTGTAATCGTCAAAGCACCACCCGAAGTTCAGAAGACTGCAGTTTGTTGTATGAAGAATTGTATCGACCACACCGACATGAAGGAGTACACTTATGAACTCACCGCCGAAATCATCATTAACGACTATGAATGCGAAGCATGGTTCTGGCAAAATTCCGTCAACAGTATAACAAAGAAGATTAATTGCCCAGCCGTAAATGAATGTGACCTAATCGACTGCTACTTTTGTCTCGAACAACTCGCCAATCCAACTTGCAACGTCAAATGGGCTACGTTCCTGCTCTTATTAGGAATCTTTGCCTTCAGCAGTTTATTTGGTTGCTTCATCACCGTCTTCAGTTCAATGCGCATCATCGTCAAGTTAATCGTCAATAGTTTAACAACAATAAGTTATCCTTTCTTTTGGATGTTCAACAAAATTTGCAAGAAAGACAAAGAAGCCTGGAAACGACAAATAAATTCCGCCGAGAGGAAATTATACCACCGACTAAGAAACATACATCGTCCAGGACACCAATTGAGGAAGAAATTTTCAACCATCTTATTTATTGCAGCAAGCATCACGGCAATCATAATTCCGACTATGGCAGTAATTTCAATCACAACTCAAACTGAAAGCTGTTTAAGAGGGACGACAGGATTGACTTGTACCGTCAATAGTGCCAACACACTTACACTATTACCTGCTGGCCAAGTCAACACATTGCTTCTTCGCGATGAACATGGTTTAACCCTTGGCACATTGTCAATGCGTCTAACATCCTTGAAAATGGCTTGCCATCAGCAATCAATCGCCTGGTTACGTTCTTACCGCGTCGAACCAACAGCCGTCAAAAGATGCCCTCGAGCTGGCTCATGTTTTAACGACCATTGTGAAAATGTCCGACCCAATAGTTACGTCAAAGAACTCCAAGTTGGACGAGAACTACCTGGCAACACCTTCTGTATTCCATCAACAAGTTTTTGGGGCAACAGTTGCGGACTACCAACATCAGCATGTCTATACTACCGATATTTTGCTCGACCAACAAGTTCAAACGTCTTCGAAGTGTTCACTTGCCCAAGTTGGAGCCCGGAAATGGACGTCGAACTTATGTTAGAAACTAATGGTGGTAAACGACGAACAAAATCCATCATTTTACACCCCGGCATCACATCTTCATGGGGAAACATCACCATCACACCCTTGGCAATCTCTCTTCCGCCTATGCCAGTACTTGGTTCAACATTCGTCACTAATGGACAAACCGTCTCAATCGTCAGTCGACTACCCGTTGATCTACACTGTGCAACAGAGGAAGCAGCTCGTTCTTTAAATTGCTCCCTCGACTTAGAAGCCTGCAAAGAATGCTTCCCGAACCACAATGATGGAACAGTTGAATGTAGTTGCCGAGATGTGGACCTTGACGCCATGATGGAAAACCCAGAAACTCGACTACCAATCACTAGAGCAAAAGTATGGCTGGAAAACACTGGACCATCAATTTCAGCAACATACGTCTATGCGCCTATTCAAATTCATCTTCAAATGAAAAGTCTAGCACTACACCTTCAACTTCGTGATTCAAAATGTTTTATGGATGAAGCTCGACTACACGGATGTTACAGATGTGGAGCTGGAGCGCAAATAACGTACAAATGCCGATCAGACAACGCCAACGTCTTAGCCACCGTCAAATGTGAAGATGGGACTTTATTCGTCGCCCATTGTTCGACAAATGGAACCCTCGGAAAGGAATTAATCCCTATCGACTACGCAGATGTCAACACTATTTGTACAGTTGATTGTCCTGCTGGAGAAACCAACTTCATCCTCAACGGCAGCCTTTATTATATTCCTTTGCGACGACAATGGGGGCATCAACAACATCGATCAAAACAACTGATTTTGGATCCCGAAACTTTCAGTTTATGGCCTGATTTTGGATTCGATTTATGGGTGATCGGCAAACTTCTTCAAGGAGGACCAATTTTTCTTGGCATCATAACGTCAATTGGACTTGCTTTACTTGCCGTCTACCTCTTCATGCGACTATCGCCTATATTTCGAATTTATCGACAAATGGCTAGAACAATTACCACCTTGGCAATTTTGGTTCAAGTTCAAGCAGTCAATATAACAACAATCGACAAACCCGAACGAATTTCGTCTGCGCCTATATTGTCAAAAAATACTTTTGGATGGAATCTCTTTGGAATTGTCGTTCTTTCGACTAGTATAATATGCCTAATAATTCGAAACGTCTATCTACATACGCCAAAACTCTGTCGTCCATTTTTTCGACAAAAACGCCAAAAAAGATTTGCGCCGATATTACCCGTCAATTCAACATTTTACATTCCAATCGTCATTATTGCACTTTCTGTGTGGCCGGCCGGATGTTCCCTTCAGAAAAAGGAAAAATATTTCAAACGACTAACTGGACCACACACGGTTTATATAAGTGAGCGACAAAAGTATGACATCATAATCAGCACAGCAGAGATAAATAAAATAAGAATCGCCTATCAATATATTCAATCAACATTCCAATGGCAAATTACACTTATTACCAACACGCCTATTTTTAAAACTATAAATATTAATTTGAAATCGTCACAAATTCATTCATTCAACAACACCCCTCGAATCGTCTACGTCGAAATGTCTTCACGTACATTATCACCATTCGACAATGGAGGTTTTGGAACACCTCGCCGCAATCGTCAAATGGAACCGCAATTTCCCAGAACACCATCACCTCCTCGTAATCGCCATGCGTCAAATCCACCTCCGTATAATCGTCAAGTAACTCCACCACCTTTATATTCTCGTCGAACCGGTAATCGTCAACGTCAAGAGGTAACCGAACGTCTAGATGAATATTTAGCAAGCCGATTTGGAAACAATTGGTGGAAAACCGTCGCAACAATTGACCGAATCAATCGTCAACTCCGAGGATTAATGATACGTGACCACACTAACGGCAACAACATCGCGGATTGGGACTGCATCACCTATAAGCCAGCACAGAAGCTACTTGTTCAACCAGGAGAAACAGTGGCACAACACTGGCAAATGAAGGGACGACCAATCAGTGAACCATATCTCCCTGTGCTACGACAAATGGGTGGAATCCGTGGAACATCACGTCAATCTCGCCAACGTCAACGTCTAGGATTTATTCCTTGGAGAATGGGATACGACCACAACAGTTATTTCCCTCTACAAAATTTGGAGATTGTTATTCCAACTCCATTGGCAAAACGTAACGAAGATCGTCAAGAAGAACAACAACCTCTTCAAAATTATGTTATCACTGAAGCAACGCGTCAACAAATTATCGCCAAGCTTACAAAGACCAGAGATGAAATCAATGAGACCATTGAACTTGTTCAGCAACTTTCAACATGTGAACAACCTTCAACCTCATGGAGTTGGAATGGTGGACACTAGTAAAGAAAATTTTTAAATTTTTCTATAATCTATCTTTCCTTTTATCTCCTTCTTTCCCTCATTCATGCGTTTTGTAATTTTCCCCCTCAATACCTTATTTTCATTTTTTTGTAATTTTTTCAAATGTTTGGAATGGATGGACATCAAATGTCATCAACAATGGGTCCTCGTCAAATGGTCAACATATCGTCTAAACCTTAACGTCTAAACCTTTAACGTCAAAACTCAACAAAAGAAAATCACAACAAAATCATCAAATTTTAATAATTAAAAAAGTAATCATCAAAAAGCATCTTCACAAATTAATTTTATTGGCGAAGCCAATCAATTAAAAATAAAAAGAACGTGGTGAAACATCATAAATTTAAAAATTTACATCAAACAATAATCAAATCTTAAAACCAAATCTTAACAACAAAATTTATAAATGCAAAATCGACAAATGGAATATCGACTAAAACTTTAAATCGACTAATCAACATAACTTTAACAACTAAGGACCCACTGATGTGCCTGCTCGCGGCAATGTCGAAAATTTCTTGAATTTTCGTCGAAGGATGAAATTAATAAAATTATTAATTTTTCCGTTCCTATTTTTGTATGACATCACTTGTTAGTGATCGTTATCGCCTACTTTGCTCTTTCTCTCATTTTTCCATAAATGGATAAAATTATCCATTTTATCTTAAATTCCAATCTAAAAATTATTAATAATTTTATCCAACAGGGAAAAAAGGGAGAAAGTGCATTTCCGCCCAACTTTATTAAAAAACATATAATTTTTTCTATTTTTTCCACTTTTGCCATTGCCCCACATTTTTTACCACACACATTGAAAATGTCCTATTTAAGCCAATTTTTTCCCCTTACAACTACATTCGTTCATTCAGTATAGCTTTTCCTTGAATCATTCCTTATCCTTACCAATTCCAACCACCTTTTCCATACACACAAATAATTGTAAAATTGTATTAAATTAAATAAATATTATTAAAATATTCTTTGTTCTTTTGTTAATATTCTTTGGGAATATTCGCCTAACTTTCGTCTACGTCTAAACTTGGCCGTCTAAAACCCTTTGCCTCCTCGTTTGAATTGCCCTGTCTTAATCTTTGGGATTAAGACATACCTCATCAAGACCCTTAACCCCAACTTCTTATTTTAGCGGCGAACGACCTAGTTCCCTTTTGGGAATCCCGACCTAGGAAGTTCCCGTTACAAGACCCAACCCAGCTCTAAAATATAAATAAAAAAATAAACCAACATTTCTTTAACGAGGTCGTTCTGCTCAGAAATAGTTTGAACAAATTTTAAAATTTCTCCATTATTTTGTTGAGGAGTTAAAGATCGTTGACGAACAACTTCTTCTTCTTCTCGTTGTTGCCGACCACCACCAACATCATTTTGTTGTAATTTTGGGGTTGGAAGAAGTTGCTCAGGTTGGCGTTGTTGAGGTTGATTTTGACGTTTGGAAGGTGGTGATTGAGTAGTTACCTTTAAAAATAATTTTTTAAATTTGCGGACAATATTTGCGGACAAACTTCTTGTTGACGAATAACATAATTGTCCATTGGTGGAAAACGTTCATGTTGTCGTTTTTTTGAAGTCAATGAAGAAGATATCTTTAAAAATAATTAATTTTTGGATGTTTTAGAAAATTAAAGTTGCGGACAATATTTGCGGACAAAAAATTTTGCGGACAAAAAAATAAAATATTTGCCAACGTGTTCTGGGGGTGTAGAAATATTTTGGTGAGACTTTCAAACCAATTCTAGATTAAAATTAGAGAAGAGAGGGATACCAAATAGTCTTATTGTTAGCATCTTTTGAGAGTGGACAAATAACAGGAAACAACAGGCGGATCTATAGGCAGACAAGTACCCCGCCAACCCTTATTTACATAAACTTTGTCATGTGACTAAAAATGGCATTGAAAAGAAAAAAAATTTTGCGGACGAAACTTGCGGACAAAAAATTTTGTCTAAAAATCCCAGGAAAGCAGGAACCCATAAAAATAATAATTTAAAAGAAAATAGTAAACCTCAACTGTACGTTGATCTCCTCTCTGTAAATAGGTTGCCTCATGTACAGAAGGAGTTCCACGTGGCTTAGGAGCACTCTGAAGCCTTGGATCACTCGGTGGACCCTTCCGCACGTTTTGCCTTCCCATACTATTTGAAGATTGAACACCAGCAGCACCTGAAGGTCTAGCAGTTTGTGGATGAACAACTGGAGCTCTTGGAGTCGGCTGTGTAGAAGTCTGTGGAGGAACGACACGTGGCTTAGGAGCACTTTGATTAATCGGTGTCTAAAATTAAAAAAACGTAAAAAAGTAAAACCCAGGTTGACCACCGAAGTCTTCCAGTATCTTTAAGAGTGGATAGAAAGGGAAACAATAACTGACGGATCTTTAGGTAGACAAATACTCCGTCAACCCTTATTTACATGAACTTTGTCATGTGACTAAAAGAGGAATTGAAAAAAAAATTTGCGGACAAAAAAATTTTGCGGACGAAACTTGCAGACAAAAAATGTCTAAAAATCCCAGAAAAGCAGGAATCCTCAAAAATTAAAGAAAATTATAAACCTCGACTGTACGTTGATCTCCTCTCTGTAAATAGCTTGCCTCATGCACAGGAGGAGCTCCACGTGGCTTAGGAGCACTTTGAGAAGAAATTGGTGCCTAAAGTTAAAAAAAACTTTAAAGAAAATCCACGGTTGACCATCGAAGCCTTTCCGCTCCTTTTAATAGTAGACAGGAAGGGAACCAACCACAAGAGAATCTATTAGACAAGTACCCCGTCAACCCTTATTTACATAAAATTTGTCATGTGACTAAAAATGACATTGAAAAAAAACCTAGCGGACCAAACTTGCGGACAAAAAATTTTGCTGAAAATCGCACGAAAGCAAGAATCCCCAAAAATAATAATTTAAAAGAAAATAATAAACCTCGACTGTACGTTGATCCCCTCTCTGTAAATAGGTTGCCTCATGTACAAGAGGAGTTCCACGTGGCTTAGGAACACTTTGAGTAGTAGTAGTCGGGGCCTAAAATTTAAAAATTAAAAAAACCTTTAAAAAATCACCGATGTATTAATTCCTTTTCCAGCAACACCAGCTGAATGACTGCTATGGAAAGCATTGACTGTAGTCTTATTCTTTAACATCTGAAAAAAGATTGATTTGAAAGTTAGGGACAACTTGACTGTCAACTGGACTATTTATGAGACCCTCTCCAAAAACGCTGATCGATCACCCTCACATGGGAGTGATCAGGAGGCGTAGGCACTTTATAGTAGGCGTAGGCACTTCGACGACTTTGGGGTTTGGTATTTCGGCGCGCTACGCTCTCCAACGTACAAAAGACCCACCTTCCTAGAGCTCTCCCCCGTTACAAAAAGGACGTAGCTTTACCAGAGCAAGTAAGAAACTCTTCTCTAACCATGAGACTCTCCTCAAAGCGCCTGATCACTCTAAAATGGTATAACCACCATTGGAGAGTGGGTATTTCTACGGCTTTTTGGGGTTTGGTATTTCGGCGCAACGTACAAAAGACGCCCTCTTCCTAGATTAGGGAAGCTCTTCCGCGTTACAAAAAGGAAACAGCCATACCAGGGCAAGGAAGGGACTCTTCCCTAACCCCAACCGGGCACTGGTCAATTTCCTTCCCCTTTTGAGAGTGGACAGGTATGGGAAAACAACAAAAGGTGCTCTGTAGAGAAAAATACCCCCCATCAACCCTTATTTACATAAACTTGTCAGGTAACTAAAAATAGTATTGAAAATAAGGAGAGACACACCATTCCCCGTTTAAACGCTATTTATGGGCTCTACAGGCCAAAAAAGGACAAACAATAATAAAACCTATTGTAAACAAAACAAAAATTTATGCATACATTAATTCGTTGTTTACTATGAATCGAAGGAAGAGGCTTAAACGTCTGCACATAAAGTCCTTCTTTTGCTGAAAATATAAAAAAATTTGATGTATTTTTAAATTAAATTCATACCATTCCCTCCAGGCGTTTTTGAACGAGAACGACGCGGAAACATTTGTTAAGTAAGAAAATAATTTGAAGAAATGAGAATTGATATACTTTAGAACGATTAAAAACAACTGAAAACAACAAAAAAATAAGTAAAAAAAGAACTAAAACAAAAAAGTAAATCAACGCGTTCCTACGGGGAATAACGATTTTTGACAAGTCTCCAACAAAAACGCCCAAGTCGGCGCGCGGCCATAACGGCGCGAAGCCATAACTTGCTGGAAAATTTCTAGCCCTTGACAATTTTGGTACCAATCTCTTCATCTCGATGAGAGGAATCGTTTAATACTAAATTCTGAAAGATTCGGAAAACCTGAAGCAAGTTATGGCTTTGCGCCGTTGTGGGCGCGCGCCTACTTGGGCTTACCCTCTCCGACAAAAAAAAGGTTCTGTGTATAACCTGTCTCTCTTAAATTAATACGCTATTTCTCTTAGTTCTATGTCTAGCTAGTCTAGACTTTCTAGTTAGTGGCGGTTAGACTAATAGGCGTTGGAGTATTTTCTGAAGAGTTGTCTATTCTCTTTTATTATGGTAAGGCGATTAAATCTTTGCCTATGATCAGGTTGCCTTATATACTGAGGAAAAATAAAAAGGAAATGTGTTCCGATAAATTTAATAAAAAAGCCCAGACTTTACTGTTCTTTTTCCGTCTGTGTGTGATAGCCCATTTAGGCGCGCTGCCATAAAGGCGCAAAGCTACAACTTGCTTCGAGATTTCCAAATCTTACCAAATTTAGTAATAAACGATTCCTCTCATCGAGCTAAAGAGATTCAAAATTAATAAAGGCCAGAAATTTTCCAGCAAGTTATGGCTTGTTATGGCTTTGGCCGCGCGCCTACCTGGGCGTGTCCCTTTGCGTATAGCCCACATAGTCGCGAGACGTTTCGCCAAAAGAGCCGTTTATTCGCGGGAGTCGTTTATTCAAAAGCCATTTAATCGCAGGTAATTTTTATTTTTTTTCGTAACCTAACGGAAATTTCGATATTATTCTCTAGCGTATTATAATGTAAACACTTTACTGGGGGGGGGGCTATTTTGGTTTTGTATATTTTTGAATTTGGGGCTATTTTATTTTTGTATTTTTCCTCTAATCTGCTTATTTTTCGTCACATTTTTGGTTGTTTTTGTCCTTGATTTTTTCTTGTCCTTAATATCATGACTTTTTTTTTGGTTATTTTTACTTCTCGAAAGATATAAAAGAACGTCAAATTTACTCTCAAGCATTCATTTTTCTCTTAGCAAATAAACAGGGACACGCCCAAGTAGGCGCGCGGCCAGGAAGGCGCAAAGCCATAACTACCTGGAAAATTCCTGGACCTTAACAATTTTAGTTCAATCTCTTTAGCTCGGTGAGAGGAATCGTTTAATACTAAATTTTGAAAGATTCGAAAATCTTGAAGCAAGTTATGGCTTTGCGCCTATTTGGGCTGTACCCAAACATACATTCTCTCTCTCTTTTACTTTTGTTTTTATAGCCTTGACCTATTCTCTGCTCTCTTCGAGAGAGTATTTATTTTATTTGTTTACCATAGGAACGTTATCTCTGATTTTTTTGCTCATTTCCTTGAAACTTGTGAAATTTATTGATTTTTTGAAGTGTTCTAAGGATGCGTTTTTCTGTTCTTTCATTCCTCTATTTTCCTATTTTTTGGTTATTTTGCATTTTTAATAACCCTTTTTTTTAGTTAAACAAAAATAATTTTCTAAAAATTCCAATGGATTCTTATAAAGATCCTCTCAGCAAAGAGCAAAAAGATGAATTGCGTGCTATTGCCCAGAAGATTCTTCAGCCTGGGAAGGGAATTTTGGCAGCGGATGAAAGCACAGGTGAATTAGAATGATTTTTGGGTAAAAATGATTTTGGGCTAACATTAAGCAAGCACTTCGGTGGTGTAGTGGTAACGTTCCCAACTTGTGGGTAAAGGGGTCTCGGGTTCGATACCTCGTCCTTGCTGATTTTTTAATTAACCCGAGGAGACCCCAAAATAACTTTTTTTTCAATTCCAGGTTCTATTGGTAAACGTTTTGAGGGCATTAGTGTTGAGAACAACGAGGAAAATCGTCGCAAATATCGTCAACTTCTCTTTTCTACTCCAAATTTTGGACAGAACATTAGTGGAGTAATTCTCTTTGATGAAACCTTCAGACAGGTTTTTTAAAGATTTAACAAAGTATTTTACAAAAAATTTGCCTTTTAGAAAGCAGATAGTGGAGAACGTTTTGTCGATCTGATTAAAAAGAATGGAGCAGTTGCTGGCATTAAAGTGGATACTGGAGTTGTTAAGTTGGCTGGAACTCTTGATGAGGGAACAACTCAAGGTTTCTTTTGTTGTTAAGGATTGGTCCGTGTCTTGATTAGCCTATTTGGTATCAAGGGTTGGGGTAGTCCTCCCCCGTTTTAAAAAATTCGTGCGGCCTTCCACGGCTATTTCTGATTTTTTTGCCTGGTTTTGGTTCCTGTTCAAGTTTTGAAGGTTTCCTCCAAGGCCTAGGAATTGAAGAATGTACTAAACCGGGGTTTTGTAGTTGGTCAGGAATGGGCAAACCAAAAATTTTTTATCTTCTAATCTTTTTCTTTAAAGGTTTGGACAATCTTTCTCAACGTTGTGCTGAATACAAAAAGGGCGGTTGTGACTTTGCAAAGTGGCGTTGTGTCATCAACATTGGCCCTCACAAACCTTCTCATTTGGCTCTTTTGGAGAATGCTAATGTCCTTGCACGTTATGCAAGTATTTGTCAGCAGAATGGGCTCGTTCCTATTGTCGAGCCAGAAGTTTTGTGTGATGGTGATCATGATATTGACCGATGTGCTAAGGTTTCTTTTTGTGATTTCTGCTTTAATTTGAAGGGACGGGGGAATAAGTGATAGGGGTAGGAGAGGTTGATTTCGGATAGCTTCGGTTGTGTCCTAGGGCGGTCTCAAACCTTTTAGGGTGGCGATAGGCTTGGAAGGAATATGTGGTAGACCCAATTGCCCGACCAAGATTAATCGCTGGCTGCTTTTATATTAAACCCCCCACACACACACCTGACACTTCCTCCTTACATTGTTTGAGTTAGCCTAAGAGGTTGGACCGGTACTGGGTAGTACACAGTCTAAAAACAAACAAACATCCTTTTTAGGTTACTGAAATGACTCTTGCTTATACCTACAAAGCTTTGGCTGATCATCACATCTATCTTGAAGGGACCTTGCTTAAACCCAACATGGTGACTCCGGGCCAGTCGAATCCTAAAAAGGCTACTCCAGAGGAAATTGGTTTGGCTACCGTTACTGCTCTTCGACGTGGAGTTCCGATTGCTGTTCCTGGTTTGGAAATGGATTTTGGCAATCCCGGAGAATAGGGGTTTCTTCGAAAAAAAAGTTTAAAAATAAGAGAAAGGATTTTTCTAGGGTAAAAAAAATGTGCTGATTACGAATCTGAGCTCGGATTTTGAAAAAGTCGTACCCGGACCCGAATATAGGTCCTACAAAATCGAAAAACCATAGGGGGGACCAAGCTGATTCTGGGGTGAAAAATTCGAATATGCAAATAATAGCTCATTCAAAAGAGCTCGACGAGCTGAGTCGAATGACACCAAAATCACCGTGATTGAAAAAGATCTGGCGAAGTTATGATACCAAAATCAAACAACGTAAACCTATGTTTTTTGTGTTGTAACTTTGTCTGTTCTTGTTCATTCACGGTAATTTTGGTGTCATTCGACTCAGCTCGTCGAGCTCTTTCGAATGAGCTATTATTTGATCAATTTGCGCTCTGTGAAAGTTTTCCCAAAATGTCGAATGTCCGAATTCAGGTCCGGGATTCGACTTTTTCAAAATCCGAGCTCAGATTCGTAATCAGCAGATTTTTTTACCCTAGAAAAATCCTTTTTCTTATTTTTAAACTTTTTATTCGAAGAAACCCCTATTCTCCGGGATTGCCTGGATTTTCAAATTAATTTTAATCTTTTTTAGGAGTCGTTTTCTTGTCTGGAGGTCAATCAGAGATTGAAGCCACTCAAAATTTGAATGCAATCAACAGTGTGCCGGGCCCTCGTCCGTGGACTTTGACCTTCTCTTATGGTCGTGCTTTGCAATCTTCTGTTTTGAAGAGTTGGAAGGGATCTGATGCTAATATTGCTGAGGCGCAGAAGGTGTTGCTTCATCGTGCAAAGGTTTGGAAGGGAAAAGTTAGAATGGAGTAGTGGGACTTCTTTTCGGCTGGGAACATTGTAGGATGCCTCGGTCCCATGATTGAGTGAGACGGCCTGACCAACTCCCACTGTCTATCTAGTCTTTATCGACTAGGCTGGGAAGAATTTTTAAAGGGTCCATTGGCCTGGCCACTTCCCGTAATGGGTTCTAGGCTTCTAATTTTTTGATGGGTCAAGTTCTGGAGATCCGTGGGAATTGACCTTAGTCTTCTCTAGAAACTTCAATAATCTTATTTTTAAAGGCTAACGGAGACGCTCAACTGGGCAAATATTCTGGTGAAGAAGGAGCTGCTTCCGCTGCTGAGTCTCTGTTTGTGGCTAAACACGCCTATTAAATATGTGCTTGGACAATATATTGTAGAGGAAAGAACAGTTTTTTATTAAATAAGATAGATTATTATACACTTAATGCTAAAATACATATATATTTTTATTATTATTCACTTTATGTTGCATAGGGACTTTAATGTATTATTTTAAACTGTTCTAAAAATATAAAATTGATGCTCTTAAAGTTGGTAAATCTCGAAAAATCAGTTAATATTGATTTGACGACCTTGAAAAAAGGCCTCTTTTCTGCCTGATACCCAACCGTCACTTTAATTAGGACAAATTGTCGGGTAAGGGATAGCCTAACCATTTCCCGCTTCCATAGAGTAACGATTCCTAGGCTTTAAACTTTTTGAGATGGCCCTGGGATCCTTGAGTCCTGGGCCATATTCTGGGCCATAACTTTTTGGGGTTTCAACCAAATCGAATAAATCTCTTATCATTTGGAAGCCCTGGATATGAGCGGGCTTTATTGACTAACTTATTGTTTGTTGATCAGATCAATCATGCTTGATGTCAATCCACCAATGATCCGTTCTATAAAGCACAAAAATATTCCAAAATATTTATGCATAAATAGTGACAAAATTCCAAAATAATTTATTTAACATTAGAATTACTTCCACCCTCAACAGCTCCATTGTTAGTGCTGTTGCTGCTACTTCCCCCTCCTCCTCCTTTTCCTCGATAATTCAAATTTTTTAAAAATTTTAAATGAATTAGGGCAATAACTATAATTGAATTATTAATTAATTCAATTGCTTCTCCTTGTAAAAGAGCTCTTCCATTAACGTTAATATGTCGTTTTCCAATATTTCGAAGTAAACAATTATTATTTTCTGTCAGTTTAAATATTGCCTTTAATTTAAAAAATAAGAAGAGAATTAGAGTTTATTTTTAAATTTTGTTTTTGGAAGCTCACAAAAATGTCCGCAAGTTTTGTCCGCGAAAATTTATTTTATTAAAATATTTTTTTGAGAAATCTCCCCAAAGTTTCGGGTAACCCTTGACATCAAAATTTCTACAAAAATATATAATTCTTCATTGGAAACGAAAACAGGTTTAATGAGGTTAAGAAGAAACTTGCGGACAAAATTTGCGGACATTTGAGGGAGGAAAAGCCCAAAAAAGTTATAAAGGAAAAGGACCATTCATTATTTATTTGACTCTAAATTTCATAAATAAGGTCGAGTTTCGTGTCGGATCTTCATTATAATTTTTCCGGATCGAGTTCCTAGTCCAAAAATATCCTAGTTTTGGGTAACCCGTGACATTTCTGATGCGTAGTCTCCTCAATGGGAGGTTAACGACACAGTTTATGAGGCCGGGTTTCGGATCGGAACTTCACAACGAATTTATTCCGATCTGGTTGCGGGCCAAGAAAAGTCCTAATCTCGGGTAACCCGTGACATTTCTGGTGCCTAGTTCTCCGTGGGAAGTTAACAATTAAATGACTCCTACACAGTTTATGAGGTCGGGCTTCGTGTCGACTCTTTAAAACAAATTTCTTCGGATCGAGTTCCGAGTCCAAAAAAGTCCTAGTTGGGTAACCCGTGAGCTATCTTCTATCCTTATAAGAACCCAAAGAAAAACCAGACCCAGCCCTCTTTTTTAAATTCAAATTAAAAAGAAACCTGTTTTCTACTAATATAAGAAGTTGGTCCTTCCAACGTTAAATTGACCTCAACATTGTGTCCTTTAAAAGAATTTTTAAAAATTTTCAAAAAATTTCAACAAACTTTTTGTACTTCTCCCAATCAATACCCTCTCTTTTCGAACATCAAAAGTTGTACAACGTCCACAAAAAAGCCCAACAGTTTCAGGGGACATTATTGGTTCACTAGGCATAATTCCGATAATATTAGAGACTAAAACTGCCGCCCCTTCCCATTCTTTTGTTTCTCGTTCACAAATTGCTGCGTTTCGAGTAAATTGGCGTTCTTCTACGTCCTATTTTTGGAAATTAAAAAAAAATAAAAATTAAAAAAAAAGAAACCATTGGAAGTTGTTGACCGTTGTTAACATCTGTTGAAGAACCTAATGAGTAGAGATCAAAAGTCTGTGTGAAAATTATAAAAAATTAATTTTTAAATAAAAAAATTCATTTTTGCGGACAAACATTTGCGGACACAGCTCTAAGGCTTTTTTATATGAAAACATGGGGTTTTGAAAAACATAGGGTTTTATGGACTCAACAGCCATTATTTGGTGACCGTTAAGCCTCAATATTAATAAAGGGGGTTGATTTCTTGTCCGCAAACTTCGACGATTTTTTGCGGACAGATTTTGCGGACACCTATTTATTTTTTTTTCAATCTTATCCGCAAATGTCAACAAAATCCGCAAAAACGTTAAAAAACTTACAAAATTATCTTCATCTTGTTGTAAATTATTTAATTGTTGCTGTGTTGTTGTTGCTGCCCTTTGATCATTCAAAAGTCCATAAAGCCTCAATTCCCTCCAATGTTCTTCCAATATTTTAACTGTTCTAGCATAATGAAAAGTAGTGTCCCTATTTTGTTCCAAAATTTTTGACAAAATTGAACTTATGGGTTGTGGAGCAGAAGAAGGAATTTGTCTCAATAAATTTTCTTCTGATAAAGAGAAGGGGATTCGTTCTTGTATTGATATAATTTTTTGTTTTTCCATTTGTTCCATTCTTCTTTTTGCAATTAAACTCGATTCTTCATCATATAAAAGTTCATACCAACGTTCTTCTATCTAAAAATTAAATAAAAATTATTTATTTAAAAAAATTTTTTCGTGGGATCAAATGTCTCTGAATAGAGTGGAAAAAAGTTAAAAAAAATTTTCTTGGAATTTAGGAACCATCAAAAGTTGTGTGTGAGTCAATTTTATTTGGGTAGACTATAGTGCTTCGCCGGAACCGCAAATTTGGGAGGAACCGGAACGGAAGGACCGGAACCAGACCAAAAAAAATCGCGGAACTTCCTGCCTACCGGAACATGGAACTTCAGGCGAAGTTCTAGTAGACTTTCACATGCATGGACTGGGTTAAGAAAAAAAATCGGGTCAGGTCCGATTGGATTTTCAGAAATCCCTTCGGATTGAGTTTCATGCCGAAAAGTTCGAGTTACGAAGAACTGACCAATCTTTGCTTGACATAATCCTTGGGCCCTACCCAAATTAAAAAATTTTCCCCTAAATCCTTAAAATTATAACACAAAAAAATTATTTAAAAAACTAACCTGTTCAAGCGTATAACGACGAGAAAAACGCATTTGAGTATAAACAATCCAGAGATCAGCAACCTAAATAAAACTTAAATAAAAATTTAAAAAATAATTTAATTAACGTGTGTCACAGCAGCAATTAAAGCAATATCATCTTCAGGTGTCCATTGATTTAATAAAGCTATAGAAGGTTGTAAATTTCTAATAATTGAAGTATTTACTTCTGGTGTTGTTTTTCTTCTATTTTTATTTGATTGTTGATGTGTTTTATCCATCTTAAATTTGAAAATAATTGATTGGAAATGAGAGAAAAAATTAAAGGAAAGGATTGTTGGAAGCTAAAATTAAGTAGCAGAGATAGAGCTGGGTTGGACCAAGGCCAAAGTTTTTTCTGTACCCAAAGTCCAAGCCTAGGCATTTTTTAACCTTCCTAAGTTTTTCCTAGACTACAGGTTCAGTATCTGGTTCAGATTAATAAATCAAACCCAAAACCAGGAACAGGCCCAGGCTTTTCAAAAATCTCGATCTCTAGTATGTAGTACATACGAAGAATGGTTAGGGGACGGTTCAGTTTAAATATTGGCCGTTGTTCTACTCAACACGCCCGGCTTTTTATGCAGCGACAAAAACTGGGAACCTTTTCCTGTCATTAGACAACACCCACAGAACAACAATCCCAAAAGCTTGGTATTTCGAGGGCTTTTAAGGATTTGGAATTTCAAGCCTTCGGCATTATATTAAAAATTATCTAGTAAAAAATTTCTCCGTTGGACCAAATGTCTTTAATGGAATGGAAAAGTTTATAAAATGTTCCAAAGACCCCCTCATTAATTCTTAAATTAAAAAAAAACTTAAAAGAAAACCTCATTTGAAGGAGCATTTAATAAATGAACATTTCCACCTAAAGTAGCAACATTATTATTGTTGTTATTACAAGTAACAGGAATTCTGCTCGGAAATGTGTTGATAGGCGGATTTATTGTAGTATTATTATTAACATTTGTCACAATATGTTTTTCGTTTGAATGTCGTCGTTTAGATGTTTGTTTATTTAGTACAACACTTTCTACCAATTCATCATCAAATTTTGGTTTTTTAATGTCTCTGGTTGAACGACGACGAGGTTCATTTGGATTTTCTAGGCTTTCCATGGAACCTAAAAATAATGCAATATATTGAAGTACCAAAAGAATTTGGTTGGGAAGTTGTTGAATAGTTTTGAACCCTCTATAGGGTTAAAGTTTTCGAGTCGAGCCGACAAAGTCATTATTTCGGGCCGGCCCGACCGAGTCAATTTTCGGGCCAAAATTCAGTGCTCGACTCGATCTTTCGGAACGGGCCGGATCGGGTCCCCAACCCTACCTTCAATCTAACAGTCGAATTCAAGGGGGTTGCGAGGGGGCGGACACACCTCTTAAAAGTTGAAATCCTAAACTTGGATACGCTCTTATTTCAAAATATTAGGGAATATCAAAAATGAGAAATCTCATTCAATACCGTTATCCCTGCACATCTGCCCCGCTTATCCTCACCCACCTTCAAACCAAAGCCTCAAAAAATTTTAAAACCTGTGCCTTCATCAGCTTACTCGATACCTTTATCCCGGCACACCTTTCCCACACCTCCCTTCAACCCCAAGCCTAAAAAAAATTTAAAACCTGTGGTCTCATCTCCCATAACTCTTTTTCCAATCTGGTTGTGATACATCTGTTGAGGCATAGAATGAAGCTCGTCTTTTTGTTCATTGCTGATAATCGAATTTTCTGATGAGTCCATTTTACAACTTCAAAAATTTCAAAGAATTTAATCAAATAATTTACAAAAAAATCAATAAACGTTTAAAAACGCATTAAAATTTCAAAAAAAAAATTCATTCAAAAATTTATTAAAAAACCAATAAAACAACAGAATTTTTAACGACAAAAAAGAAGACAAAAAACTTAAACAAATGAAAATTTTGGAAGAACATTTTAGAGGAGGAGCTCTTCCAACCAAAAAAAAAATTTAATTTATTACTTTTACTAAATTAAAAAAAAACAAAATAACATTTATATTTTAAAATAACCTATGTCTTCTATAATTTTTCTCTCTTCCTTATTTATCCAAAAAAAACTTTCACTAATGCTTAAAAGCTGCAATAAATGTTTGAACCAAATTTTTAAGCTTATCATCCGTTGTTGTAGTAATTTGGCCTTCTTCACGAATAATTTTTAGCAATTCTTGCTCATGTGCACGAATATGTGCAAGAAATTCTTTTTCGAAACGAGTAATTTGTGAAGGGTCAATTTTGTCCAAATAACCTTTGACACCAGCATAAATTACAGCAACTTGTTCTTCGATAGCCATAGGGACATATTGACCCTTTAGAAAAATTTTTTAAGCAAAATTCTAAAAAGATTTTTAAAGAAAACCTGTTTGAGCAACTCAGTCAAACGAACACCGCGATTGAGCAGTTGTTGCGTTGACGCATCCAAATCAGAACCAAATTGAGCAAAAGCAGCAACCTCACGGTATTGTGCAAGTTCCAATTTCATTGAACCAGCAACCTGTGAGTTTTTTAGATTAATATAGGGTCGCCGACCTCGTTACACCCGACAATTTTTGTCTAAATTATCGACCCTGAACCCCTCCAGAGTTCGACCCTGTCCTGAATTGTATTGTCGATCCCTGGCCCTGACCTCCTCCATACCGATGTCAGGTATACAAGCCTAGATCCCGATCCTGAATGAGTTTGTCGAACCGGACCCTGATCTCCTCGGCTCTGATGACTTGATTTAAACATCAAGTCCCCAACACTTCACATCCCGAAAATTCAAAAAGAAAAACCTGTTTCATAGATTTAGTCTGTGCAGCAGATCCTACACGAGACACAGACAAACCAACATTAATTGCAGGTCTAACACCTTTATAGAACAATTCAGTCTCCAAAAAGATTTGTCCATCGGTAATTGAAATAACGTTTGTTGGAATATATGCAGACACGTCACCAGCTTGAGTCTCAATAATTGGCAAAGCTGTAAGAGATCCTCCTTTGTGTGTCTCATTCATTTTGGCAGCACGTTCAAGCAAACGAGAGTGCAAATAGAAAACGTCCCCTAAAAATAATAATTGGTAGTATTAGACAGAGAAATGACTCCACGGCAAAATTGAATGCATGGGAGACTGAATAGAACCACCGTGGAAAAGAGCCAACCCCAAAACAAAACGCGACTGCTACGTTCAGTGGAGTGCTCATGCCAGTAAGTGTTAGCAGTGGGCCCGCAAACTTTCAAAGTTTTGTGTATATAAAAAACCTGGATAAGCTTCACGTCCTGGAGGACGACGCAACAAAAGTGACATTTGTCTATACGCTACAGCTTGTTTTGAAAGGTCGTCATAAATAATCAATGCATGTTTCCCATTATCACGGAAGAATTCGCCCATCGCAGCTCCCGAATATGGTGCAAGGAATTGAAGAGGTGCTGCATCAGAAGCGGTAGCCGAAACGATGATTGTGTACCTTAAGTGGACAATGAGTGTAAGACGAAAAAAAAAGAAAACAAACTTCATAGCATCAGCATCAGTAAGTCGCTTCACAATTTGAGCAACAGTTGAACGCTTTTGACCAATAGCAACATAAATACAATAAAGCTTTTTCTTCTCATCATTGCTGGCATTAAAACGCTTCTGGTTGATAATTGTGTCAATAGCAATTGCAGTTTTACTAGAGAGTTTAGGGGAAGAATAAGGTGATAAATACATAGAAATTATCGGGCAATTCAGTAAGTATGTGTGTGACTTCAAATACTTAAACAAGTGTAAAACGGCTAATGTGTGCCCTATGCCTACCATTTTCCCAGCCGATTTAACAATAATCATTCGCAAGGGCACATTCAGGGTTGGGATTTCGGAGGATATGACAGGTTGTGCGGCAAACTTAGAGTTCAGAACGGACACCCAAATTATCCCACCCGATTCGTCTTGAAGCTAGTCTTCACCCTCTAATTTGTCATCCTAATCTAACCCAAAATCAACAAAAAATACAAACCCAGTTTGACGATCTCCAATAATCAATTCACGCTGTCCCCTTCCAATTGGCACCAAGGAGTCAACTGCTTTCACTCCTGTCAACATAGGCTCACGCACACCAAGACGCGGAATAATTCCTGGAGCTTTAACTTCAACACGCGAACGTTGAGAAACTTTTAAAGGTTTTCCATCAATCGGATTTCCAAGAGCATCAACAACGCGGCCCAACAATTCTTCACCGACACCAACGTCCACAATAGCCCCAGTCCGTTTGACAATGTCTCCTTCACGAATAACCTTGTCATTTCCAAAAACGACAACACCAACATTGTCCGGTTCCAAGTTTAGAGCCATTCCCTTTTTAGAGAAAATTGATTAGATATATGGATCGAAGACTTGGTCAGATTAGAGATGAACTAGAATAGATATCAGGCTCCAAGATTCGGACCCGGGAGTCTTAGAGTTTAATATTTCTCATAAACACGGTTCTTCATAGACTGAGTCCTGGTCCCAGAAAACGACCAGCCCAGTCAAATCGAAAACTAGTCTAGTCTATCTTTTAAAGTGTGAGTGGGTATCTGCAATCATATACCAGAACCCAAGAGAGCAGTGCTGGGCAAGTCTCCGGAAACAAGTTTCGGAACCTGCACCAATTCGAGCCAAGAATTTGAAAATTTCGAAGCTGGAACCAAGAATTAAGAGGTAGAAACCGGAGCCAAATACGCCCAAACAACAAGAGAGTTCCCAAATTAAACACCCTCTCAAAAAGTTAAAAATAACAACCTTCATTCCCGAATCAAATTCCACCATTTCCTCAGCCTGAATATTTTTAAGTCCATAAACACGAGCAATTCCGTCACCAATAGAAAGTACTCTTCCCGTCTCTTCCAAATTAATCTTTGTTTCTTGTCCAAGAATCTTTTCTTCCAAAATTCGAGAAACTTCAGCACTCGAAGCCGACAATTTTGAAGATGTTGAAAGAGCAGCAGCCTTCATAGTACATCCTGCTATGATGGAATTTGCACTTTGAACAAACTTTCTTGTGAAGATCATTTTTTAACAGAAAAATTTTTTTGAAAGCTAAAAAATAATTAAAAGAGAAATTGGTAATTCTTGCGTTCGTACCCCCCCCCCCCCCCGCGTCTTTTTTCTTAGTCCAGCCTTTTATTTTTCAATTTTCGGGGGTCGGTATCTCGGCCCAAAGTTAAGACCGGGGGTTGATTTTGGGTCATTCTACACAGCTTGATGGGTTCTATAACATAGGACTGACCATTTTTTAACACTTTGACGAAGGAAAAAGGAAGAGGGGGGGTACAACGCAAGAATTACCGAGAAATTTAAAAAAATGATAAAAAAATACAAAAGTTTCAAGCAAAACTCTAACATAACTTTCAAAAAATAAGACTAGTTTGTGTACTTAACATTTTAAACAATCTCGCTAGTTAGCAACGAACATTGAAACAAATAATCAATAGAAAATCTTTTTATAATTCTCGAATCGCTAGAGAGAAAAATCGTGTCCGGACAAAATATCGAATCGTTAAAATATGGAATAGGCTAAAAAAGGGTTAAAATCTCGAATCGGGTAAAAATGGGTTAAAATCGCGAATAGGCTAAAAAGGGGTTAAAATGTGGAATCGTTAAAATATGGAATGGTTAAAATATCGAATCGGGTAAAAAAGGGTTAAAATATGGAATCGTTAAAATATCGAATTGATAAAATGTCGACACGGTCAAAATGGGTCAAAATGTCGAATTTTTTTAAAAATGGCGCCAAAACCTAAAATCCGGGCGTTACCGTAATACCGACGGTATTTTTCGGTATTCCGTGTCGGTAGTACGATATGGAATGCCGACCGATAAAATTTAAAAGCTGACCGTTATTTTTCGATATTCCGTACCGTATACGGTAAGGTACAAAATTTAGGTCTTAATTAAAAACTAGTGACGCCACTCTAATTTTTCCGTATCAGGATCCTGTTGTGTTTTCCGGATCCGTACGATCATGCCGGACCGGATCCGGTCGATTATGCTTGATTTATACGGTCCGATTTTACTCGGTAAAATACAGTGAACTCAGGCAGAAAAGATTACGCCGGACTATGACATACGAGACTTATCAATCAAATTATCAAAAATAAGTTGATAAATTTATCAACAATCAATGTATGGCACTCATCTGACCCTTTTTTAAAAGAATTCGACATTTTGACCCATTTTGGCCGTGTCGACATTTTAACCATTCCATATTTTAACGATTCCATATTTTAACGATTCGGTATTTTAACCCCTTTTTAGCCTATTCGCGATTTTAACCATTCCATATTTTATACCGGAGCCAGAAAAATACGAGAAAGCCAAGAAAAATCAAGTTATCGTATGATAATTTTTCTTGGCATAATGTGTAATTTAAATTTTTCATTTCAGGACGGTTGGATGCCTAAATTTCGTCGCACCACTAAAGAATAATCGCGCATTTTTTGCCAATAACACATTTTGCCAATAAGGCTAAAAACACACATTTTGCCAAAGAGCTGTTGACAAATCGCGAGTTTTTAGCCCTATTGGCGAAATGTGATTTTGGCAAAATGTGTTTCACAGAAAATTGCAAATAGAATATTAAAGAGGAAATTAAACAAAGAAAAAAGGTATTCAAGAGAAAAAAAGAAAAAAGGAAATAAATTCGATTAAAAAATTAAATAATTATTCAGCTCCTTGAGGTTCTGGGTTGAGAACATTTGACAAAACCTGCAAAATGAAAATTTATCTGGGAAAACACTTTAAAAATGAAAAATGTCAAAATATAAATAAAAGTTGCTCTTTGACTTTAGATGGTTTAGACACTAAAAAATTTATTTTTTTTTGCGGACAATTTTTGCGGATATTCACTATAAAGACAACTTATAAATTGTCCGACCAAGCAACGTTGACTCCCAATTTGTCCGCAAAAATATTTTTTTGCGGACAACTTTTGCGGACATTCACTATAAAATAGCTTATAGATTGTCCGACCGAGCAACTTTATACGTTTAAAAAAATTAAAAAAAAAGTCTGGGTAAAGTCTGGGTTTCTTCAAAAAAATCAAGTCAAAAGTCAAAAAAAAATCTCAAAAATTTTCCTCTTCATTAATTTTCATACATAAAAGCGTGTTCTATCATATCCTCATTAATTTGATTTATAAGCCAAATTAATAATAATACAGCTAAAATAATACAGCAAATACAAACCATAAAAGCAATTACTGGAACAAAATATATCCAATATTTTTGAAGAAAGCTTCGATTGTCTTGTGTAGCACCCTGTTGACGAGCACGTTTTTCTTCTTCTACTCTACGCAAATATGTTGCGGTATCAGGACTAGAAATATTTTTTTATGAATTTTTTTAATAAAAAAATTTTTGCGGACAAAAAAATTTTTGCGGACAACATTTGCGGACAAAAAATTTTTTTGCGGACAAAAAATTTTTTTACCCCTTCAAAAAGTTGATATAATCAAACAATGGCACAGGACACTAACTGGACGTTTTTCCCCAATTTCCACACACTTTTAGGTTTTGTCCGCAAATAGTTGTCCGCAAAAATTAAAATTTGTCCGCAATTCTACAATTTTTTAAAAATTACCCTGGAAGATCAACAATTCCTTGAACTCTAATAAGAATTAATGGAGAAGGCGATTTTTCATTTATTTGTATATTGGTAGAATTGTTTATTACGCTTAGAGGCGCTGGAGAATGCGTCAAGGAATGGATACGTTGATTGTCCAAATCAGCAGTAATAACCAATAAATGAACATATTTTGATTGGATATAGCCCTCCTTTAAAAATAAAAAATTAAGTAAACGTGGGAGACACATCGCGAACCAAAATACCTTCCAAAGAAATTTGGAATCAATCAAGGTATTAAAATGTGGATGTCCGCAAAAATTGTCCGCAAATTTTTTTATTGTCCGCAAAAAATTTTTTCCTTCAATCAAGATTGGGCCTCACAAAAGTCAGTGGGTTGCGGATATAAATCTAACAATATGTCTATTAGATTTTAGGTATTAAACTCTAGTGGGTCATGAATTTTACTACGAGTCTCTGTTACACAATGATATAAAGTGTAGAACAGAAAAAATTTTGCGGACAATATTTGCGGACAAAAAATTTTCTTTTTCAAACTTGACTGAACTCTAGTTCCAATTGGAAGATATTTTGGTCTCAGAAAAGTATCCTTTCCAAACAGAAAAATAAATTTTTAACCCCTAAAACAGAAAAGCAAACCTCATCCTCCATTTATTTCAGAAAAACTCACAACAGAATTACTGCTAAATATTTGTCCACTTTTCATTTTATATTCTTTATTTGAAGGATTTGTTTCCAAATCTTTTTTCCATTGAGTAATTACTTCTGTTGACGTTGCAATAAATTCTGCTGTTGCAGGAAGAATATTTTCAATGTTGTGACTTCCAACAAAAGGTTTTATGCGGATTTGGCCAAGTTGCAAGTAAATATCTTTGAAGAAAAAAATATAAAAAATATTTTTGGAAAAAATTTTTTGCGGACAAAAATTCAACTAAAATTTTTCGCAGCATTTCAACTGAGTCCCGTCCCTATAACTCAAGTACGGGTTGATAATTTTTAATGCTTTTGGTACCATTTGATAGAGCATTAGATGGACTACAATATATTAAAAAATCAAAATTTTCGATTGATCGTTAAAAAAGTTATGATCTCTAAACTAACTTTTTCAAAAAAATCTGATTTTTCGGCACTTTATCGACCATAACTTTTTTGTCAGTCGTTCAAGAATTTTGATTTTTTGGTATATTGTAGCCTATTTAATGCCCTATCCAATGGTACCAAGAGCAAAAAAAGTGACCAGCCCTTCATAAGTTATAGGGTCCGGGACTCAGTTAAGTCGGGACTCAACGAGGTGTACAGAAAATTTTTTCGCAAAAAATTTTTCTTAAAAATTTAAAAAATAAACCTTCTATTGCATATTCCAATGGTACAGAGAATTCACGAAAGGCACTTGAAATGTCCAAAATAAATAAAAGAATAAAATATTGAAGAATATTAATTAAAGGAAGCATTTTTTGTGAATACCTAAGAAAGTAAAAAAATTTTTTTAAGAAAATTTTTATAAAAATAAGAGCCAACCAATATATTTACTTACCAAATAGCCCCAAAAAAATTTTTTAATCAAGTATAACCCTTTTCAGTTATCTTCTCCCAACGCCCGCAATTTTTTATCCGCAAAAATCATTTTTAAAATTTTCCATAGAAAAACTTTAAAGATCGCAAAAGTAATGTAAACTTGGAGATATTCTTTAACAAAAATAATCTTTCTCAAAAATATATAGAGACTTGCGGATAAAAATTTGCGGACTATGGCAGACATAACCGCAAAACGAAATCTCTTCATAGTTAAAGGATATTTCCTCAAAAAATTCCTTTAATAGATCCAAAGAAGAGAAAAAAAATATTTTAAAAAATAAAAAAAATTTCTTTCAGGTCTAAAAACCTTCATTTCTACAAAAAAAAATTCAAAAATTTTATATAAATTAATTTTTTATTCTTTATATAGATATTTTTGTGCTCTGCATATAAATGTATAAAATATAAATTTCTTTGTCGATTATGCACATAGAAAAAAATGAAAAAAAAATTAAAATAAAATTAAAAATAAATTTAAAAATAAAAAAAACAACAAAAAAATTTTTCTTTTAAAAAAGAGATTTGTTTAGAAATGAAAGTTTGAGGATTTTTTTTATTTTAAATGATTTATAAATTAAATTATTCATAAAAAAATAGAATCTCTAAAATATATCCTTCCTCCCTGATTTTCAGAAAAAAATATTATGGTCATTTAAAATTTATCTTATAAAAGGTATTTTAATTTTTTAAAGATTTTTTTTTAATTTCAGGACGATTGAGTTACTAGGACGTAAGTTAAATTGATTTGTAATGCTTATGTTCCCTAAAATTTTTTGGTGGTGTCCGAGACTTATACCGTAAATCTGTTAGCTTATAGCAAGTGCGTAGCCAGGAGGCTTTTGGAGCTATAGCCCCCTGGTACGTCCTTGCTATAAGCTAACGAATTCAGCGGTCCCCTAAAATCGACACCCTGGCTACGCCCTTGGCTTATAGTATGCTTGAATTTTGGTTAGTTTTTAAAGTCGCAGGTAATATTGCCGGTTCCCGATATCCGAAAATTCTTGGTTCGGTTCTCCTATTTTGTTTGCCAGAAAACGGTGGACCCAGAAAAGAACATACCAGCTTCTCAAACTTTAGAAACTCTATGAAACGGAAACTATGAACGGAAAGAAAGGAGGAATAAAAATAGAGATTCTATGAATTATTTAAAAATAAAAAAATTATTTAAAAGAGAACTGGCTTATTTTTTTAAGTTTAAAAAATTAAAAAAATTATTCAAAAAAATATACCAATTCACAAACAAATTTTACTTTCCTTCCTTATTAGAAGTTCCAGAAGTATCACTTGTATTAGTTGTAGTAGATGAAGTTGTACCCCCACCAGCTAACATTGGAGGAGATAAATTTAAGGAAGAAGAGACTGGTGATCTACTACTTCCTCCAGCAATTAATGGAAGAGAATCTGAGCTTATTTGTTTTGATATTGTTGTTGAAGTAGTTAATCCACCTCCTCCACCGCCTGGTGGTGGTGATATTGTTGTTCCAGTATTTAATGTTTGATGTGATTGTGTTGTTAAAGATGATGTTGTTCCTCCTTCTATTACATCTACACAAGCACTACTTCTACTCATTTTATGATGTTTTTGAATTGGTGTACGTTTGGTGCTGACACTAACGTTGCTCAATTCTTTTATGACATCAAAAATGCGTTTTTTGCCTAAAAAATTTGAAAAAATTTTTTTTTGTGATAAGTTTTGTTCATGGGTACTCCCTAATAAGGCTGACATACCAGCAATATATAACTTTGTTCAACACTATCTAATCCCAGACACGAAGCCCTAGAAATGGTTCGATTCAGCGCATCGAGAAGCACTATCAAGAGTACGAGATATTAGGTTTTGGTCCCCGACCTGTTAGGGAAAACATTCTCGGGGAAGGGGGATGTCAGGGAATATCTAAAAACCACCTTCGTCGGACGGAAAGGGGAATCAGAGACCAACCAAAAATCCGAAGAACATTCACGGCGAAACCGAAGAACATTCTCCGAAAAACAATCTCTGGGAATGGGGATGTCGGGGAGTAGCCCAAAAACCACATCGTCGGACGGAAAGGGGAATCAGAGACCAACCATAAATCCGACGAACATTCTCGGGGAAACTGAAGAACATTCTCCTAAGAACAATCTCGGGGAATGGGGATGTCGTGGAATAGCCTAAAAACCACATCGTCGGACGGAGAAGGGAGTCAAAGACCAACCATAAATCATCTAACAACAAGTCGTCCGAGACTCGTTAAACTTGAAATATGTTAGTCTACAATTAGCGGCTCATTAGACTTTCATGTCAGTACCTCGGCTAATTTCTGTAACCCTTTCCAAGCCAAAAATAAATAAAATTTAAACCTTTAGCTTTTGCAGCATCTAATACACCCTTATAAATAGGCGACCGAAGAAAACTTTAAAAAATATAAATTAAAATTAATTTTTAGAAAATTGAAAAAAAAACCGTGGATATGAATCTTTACTCATTAAAGTAAAAACGTGTTCTTCAGCTAAAGAAAAGGCAAAACGTCTAGAAGTATGAGATTCATTTATACATTTAAGCGTTTCATCGAGAGTACGAGAATCAACATTAACCTTTAAAAAATAAGATTTTTTTTCGAATATCTCCCCCTCTCAAGTTTAAGTCTCCTTAAGTCTCTCCAGCAAAATTAGTAAGTAAAAAATAAGTGGAATCGTAAAAATAATGTTTTTGCTTGGCCAGAAATGACCACAAATAGGGTTGCCAGCTCGCTCGAACCGAAGCTCGAAAGATCGAGCAAACCGGGGCTTTTCAGCTCGCAAGCGAACCGAATAAAATAAACCAAGCTCGAAAAAAATGCACCGAACGTCAGCTCGAACTGAAAACGGCAACCCTAACCACAAATCAACTATAGAATACATAGCTAATACTGAAACTTGGGGAAAGGACATATCAGAGAAGTACCCAAAAATGATTTTTAGCCCTTAAAATTAATTTAATAAAAAACCTGACAAGGAGAACCAGCAGCCAAATATTCATCCAAAATTAATTGAGCTTTAGTTTCTATTTGTGAATTTGCCGAATATTTCAAATCTTGAATAGACATCCAAAAACGAAGATTTTCGGAAGAAAATTCGGAATCGAGAAATGATTCTAGCACCTTGAAATGATTTAAAAATGATTGGAAAATTAGAGAAAGTTACTGATAATTTCAGAACTGAAAAAGTTTTTAGAAGCTTGGGTTTCAGAAAAGGAGAATTCATGCTACCGAATACCAAAAGTCGACCTACCAATCCCAAAAAGGCGCCGAAATAACAAAATGGGGTTAGGTTACAATCTTCCACGTTGATGTAGCGACCTACACCCTCGTTGAAACAACCTTATTGTTAGACTTTTTCACCTCTTTAAGGGTTTGGTATTTCGGCGTTTGGCCTTACGACGCGCTCTAGATTTATAACGAAAATTAAATTTTAAAGTTTTTTTATAAAAGAGTCAGACTCGAACATTCTAATCAATTAAAAAACAAAACCTGTCTTCCAATAGGGTCTCTAACCAACTCAATTACACTTAATCCCCAACGCTTAACACGTCTTTCCGTAGGCACTTCAACACTTTAAAAAATTTTAATTTAATTAAACCACCAAAAAATCCAAACAAACTTGTCAGCATTTAAAACCCAAAGTGTTGAGTCATCAGAAATCCAAGGATTCGAAGGCTGTGGTGATGAAAGAAAAGGGTCATATTCTGCAAATTGTTCCGTCCAATTAGTCATTCTAAAAAAATAAATTAGAAAAAAATTTTTTTAGAGGTAATCTTACGATTTACTGGTCCCTAGAAGTAAGGTTTGATTTTTCGAACCGTGCCGACGTTCGAATCATTTTTATCGAACCAGGCCGTTCGAGGGGTGGGGGCTAACTCAAGGAACGACAAGTCAAGGAAAAGACAAATCAAGGAAGCCCGACACGCCGTTCGAGTCTTTTTCGGGCCAAAATTCGAGGCACGGTTCGATCTTTCGAACCGAACGGGCCCAACCCTACCTAGAAGTAAATAAGGAAAAGGTGCTAGTTTGACATTTTTTAGGTCTGTCAGTAGGATGATTTAGGTCTGTCAGTAGTTTTGAGGGATGCCACCTCAAAAATATCAGAAAAAGTACTTCTAACACATTTTTTCTAGGGTCAGAAAAGCGGAAGATTACTGAAAAATCTTTCTTACATTTCACTAGCTTTCAGCATTTTTAACCAAGGCTTAGTTTTTAGAGCTAATCGTAGACGTTCAATTGTTGTGTGAAGCTAATAAAAAATATAAATATTTAAAGAATTATTTTTTAAATTTACATGGCTAATAGTAGGCCTCCGAATTTTGCGGTCTAAAAGAGAAAAAAATATTTGAAGAAAATAAATGTAAATAAAACTAACCAAGCTTTTGTAAACCTTCTTCAAAGACTATATTTGAATGACCTAAAAGGATACGATTAAAAAATTTTGAAGAAAAAAATTTAAGCTGAAGTACCAAAAATAGAGTTGGTCACCTACAAGGGGAGGGGCACGGGGAGAACTTTTCGGGGAGACAGCGCCACGAGGGGGGGGGCGTGGACGGGGACCGACCCTAGTCAAAAAATCATAATCCTGAAACCACAAAATTATTTCACAAAAACAGGACTAGAACTTATTCTAATTGTAACACCAACCCAAGCCTTTCCCGCGACACGAACACTAAAACGCCTATAAATTACTCCTCAAATTAAATGTCTCAAAAACACAAATTAAATTTATTTCTCATCTATTGCAATCTCCAGGGAAATCCCAGCTTAATAAAATCTTCAACAAAAATACAAATAACCTGGCCTTCTCGTCCTCCAAAAAGCTCTTTCTTCCGTGTCAAAAACAACTTTTTCAGCCTTTTTGCGTTCTTTTAACGCTTTAAGTTGAAGTTCTGCTTGGGCAGAGATGAAAGTCCACATATGGCTTAAAAGTTCGAAAGACCTATTGTAGGCATCAGCTTCTTCCTCGTCCAGTCCATGTTTCAGTTCATTGCGTAAAAGACGTTTTGAAAGATATATGGCTTAAAAAAGGGGAAAAAATATAATTAAAATTTAAAAATTAAAAGAAAACCATATTCAACATTATCAGCTTGTTGAGCATGTGATGGCCAAAAATACGGAAGTTGTATCCTATATAGAGTTCCATCTTCCTAAAAATTGATAAAAAAAATTGGAAATGAAGTAAATTTTGGTCGGTGTGAATTTTTTGATTTCTAACAAATAAGTATGAGAGGAGGGACAGAGGAGCTAAACCAGTCGTTTCCGTGTCAATTTATCAAAAGGATACGAACCAAACAACACTTAATAAACATGCTCCCCACTAGAAAATAGCGACAAATTTTGAGGAGTGGTCAAGTAGTCACATTGAAAGCATGGCTGTCACGGGTTGAAAAAAAATCGGTCCTAGTTCCGGGTCTGATTTTTGAAAAATTCTCACATCAGGTCGGATATGTGGTCAAAAACGACAGAGTTTCAGTTATATTGTTAGAATAGCTCGTGACATCCCTGATAAACGAGGAGGCTGGCTAATTTAACGTGTGGGAATAAAAAAGTATTATACAAACCTTAACACTCTGCGCATGCACATCAATAACCGGAAAGATGTAGCCATACTGCAAGAGCATTGTTGCAAAATGGACAGCTTCCCCAACATCCTCAGCCGTCATAAATGTTGAAGGGGGCTGGTTTGAAGATGAAGGCGAGGAAGAAGCATAGAAAGCATTGTGTATATGTTGAACTAAAACTTGGCCAGTAATAGCCTGAGGCACTGAGACACGAAAGTATTTGTGAGTTTTGAGGTGGGCAGAGTTGAGAATCCGAAGGAGGACAGTGTCCATCTGAAAATAAATTTTAAAAGGGATTTTAGACCAAAGCTAGATGCAACTGCGGATTGAGTGTTTTTTTGGACTTGCGGACTGCATCTGCGAAAAATTTTTTCAGTTGCGTCCAGCCCTGTTTTAGAGGGGCGGCCCAACCTACCGCCGAGGCTATAACTTCTTTTAGAATTGTCGGATCCGGGACGCCTTGGTATGGTTCGATACGCCTCGACGAGCTGAATCCAACCATACCAGGTTTCTCAGATTCGACAATTTTGAACGAAGTTATAGCCTCGGCGGTAGGTTGGGCTCGCGGTAGGTTAGGGTGTACCCCTGTTTTAGACAAAAAATTTCCAAAAACTCTAAAAAACCTTCTGTAGAATGTTGTTTTTAGTTTCAGGCACAAAAGGTGCTGCAGTGCTTGAAGAAGGCAGTGACGTCATTTTATATATGTAAATTGGTAAGTGTTGTTAAATTTTAGTTAAAAGAACCGTCAAGGTAGAACAACTGAAAAAGAGAAAAAATTAAAAAATTAGAGAAAATAAGCGAAAAAAATTTTCGAAAATTAAAAAGAAAAATTAACAAAAAAATAAAAATTTTTAATAAAAAAAAACTTGGAATCAAACACAAAAAGCAAGTCAAAAAAGGAAAGCTTGGGAGATTATTATAGAAATATGCCATATAAAGTAAAAAAATTTTTTTTCCTTTTAGTCTTGCCAATATTTTTCTTGCTGACTCTGACGACTTTGGGAGAAAAAGACTTGGCAATTTAGGGGGGTATAAAACAAGTGTAAAAAAGAGAGCAACAACAAAACAACAATAGACGGAAATGTGAAAGAGCAACAAAATCGATGATGAGGAAAAAAGAAAAGATGTCCTAGCAAAAGTGTCCCTCTCAACTCTCTTTTTAGCTGTGCAGCAGCTTTTTTTCATCTTGTTATCTTTACAATTTTGCAGGAGGAAAAAGTAGAGGAGAAATTAAAGGAAGACGGAACGAGACAGAAGGGAAAATAGAATCTTTTTGGCTAGACTCTAATAGACAAAAATAAAACAAAAAATAAAAAGACTATTAGAGTCTAGCCAAAAAATAAAATTTGACAAATAACAGAGCCAGACTCTAGTGTCTTTTTATTACAAAATTGAACAAAAATAAAATGACTATTAGAGTCTAACGAAAAAATTTAAATTCGTTAGTTGACAGTCCCAGACTCAACTGTCCTTTTGTTTCTTTGTTTTGGTTTTTCATAATACCAAATACCAATTAGACAGCAAGTTGATTTTTTCACAAATAGTCGAACGGAATGGGCTCTCTCTAGTTAAATATCTCTTTTCTTGTTTTCTCTAATTCTGTCTCTCGTATTAAGCATTACACTCTTCTTTATTTTTTAAAAATCTTCAAAATCTTCTTATTTTAAAAGTCAAAAATGTTTACTTTTTCTTCTATCGCAAAAAGATGTGCAAGACCGTTTGTGTTCTCAACTCGTACTCTTATTGAAGAAGGACCTCCTGATGCAACTCCTTTGAATTCTCCTATTGAGGTTTTTTTAATTTTTTGATCATTTTCGACTTACTTTGCCAGGGTCAAGCAAAATATATGAAAAGACCAGCTGTCATCCCAGTTGTTGAATCTAGCGGGAAGGAGACTGTAGACGTTATTGGTGAAAGGCACAAATTGCCTGCAGTTATCCCAGTTGAAGCTGACTCGAATAAAGAAGTTATGGATATTGGGGGAGTGCCTGAAGAGCATCGAGAGGTTTTTTAAGGTTTTTAACAAATCAATCCCGCATTTAAAGGGAAGACGCGCAGTGATTTATAAGCCTGCCAGAAATGCAATGCAATCGGGTTGGAATAATGTTGTTACTTGGAAGATTGAATTAGACAATCGAGAACGTTGGGAGGATCAGACGATTGGTTGGTGTAGCAGGTATATTTTTTTCAATTCAATAGACGATTTCAGATGTGATTAGACGTCCCATAATAATGAGTTTTTCGGATTTTGGGTCTGGAGTTAATTTTGAGTTCCGTTATGCTTTTCCTTGTTTTAGAGACTTGTGGCTGACTGTGTGGCCATTGACTTTTTTCGTTGGCCATTGAGTTTGGTATAGGAATGTCACGGAGTATCCAATACCTGAACCCCTAACAATTTTTTGATCCGAAATTCAACCCGTCTTTCTCTCCCCACTGACTTAAATCAGATAAGGAGAATGTAACCAGAATCTAAATTATCTATGAATCCTCTCAAATGAAAGCCAAAAAATTTACATTAAAATAAATTTTTTTCTAGTGGAGATCCATTGAGTAATATCAATATGGCTTTGTCATTTGCCTCAAAAGATGATGCAATTAACTTTTGTGACAAAAATCGTTGGGCCTATGAAATACGTGAACCTGAGGAGAGAAAAATTGTGCCAAAAGCTTATGGTTCTAATTTTCATTGGAATAAACGAACGAGGGTTTCGACTAAATAATTAAAAAATATATAGGAATATGTCTAAAGGTTTTGTTAGTGTATTTTCCCGGATTTTATTTTAAAAATAAAATTTTTTGTATTTTTTTATGTAAAAATTTATTTGATTTTTAATCAACTAAAATATTTCTTTTTTTTAATTCTCTCTTAATTTTTGACACTTGTATGCCAGGGATGGGTCGGGTTGCCCGATACATTAAGGCGTAAACCCAGGACTTTTTTTGACCCGGACTTTTCTTTCGACCTGAAGTCTGAATCAGATCCTAAAAAATTTTGAAACCCCGATCCGAAACCCCGACCCAACGACAACTCTTATTTAAAAATCCGCAAAAAGCGTCCGCAAAAATACCAACTCTTTTTTTTACATGTGCCTACATATCCGACATATTTTTATTTTTTAGATTAACAAAATTTTAATGTCTACAGAAAATAATTCAGAGGTTCTAAATAATTTTGGATCTGATCAAACAAGTGTAAAGAATTTATTAATTGAAAATGGACAGCTTATTGAAACTGCTGCTACTTGTCAGAGGATGGGACGTCTTGAGGTTTTTTTATTTTTTGGGAGGTTTTGGGGTTTCTCTTTTTATTATCTTTGAAGGGTTTGAAGAGGTCCTTTTTATTTTTTGGATTTTTTAAGTTCCTGGAATTTTTTAAAAATTTTTGGGGAGAATTTCAGTGTCGATTCCTTTTACAAGTTGACAATCATTTTCTATTACACTAATTTTCAGGAGTCATTAAAATGCCAGGAAACGCTTCGCAAAAATTTAATACTTTTAGCCAAGCTAGTTGAGCCATATTGTGGTGCCCAAATTATTCAGGTTTTTTCTTCGAATTTTTTTTGAAAAAATTTTTTTGTTGAATTTTTTTTGAAATTTTCAAAAATTTTTCAAAATTTTTCTCCAAATCAATCCAAAAAAAATTTTTTAAGGAGATAGGGCCGTCCACAGCAGTTCAACAACAACAGCAAGTACCAACACCTGTATCAACTCAACAACCTTCTACAAATAATTCTATCCCCACTCAACAACCTAACGAGTCTTCCCCACAAAATGAAAGAACACCTTCACAGCCCTTAATTAATTCAAATATTTCTCCAAACCAACAACAACAATTAACGCAACAAAATTTAAATCAAATTCCTCAACAGCAACAACAATTATTACAACCACCCCAACAACAACAACTTTATATTAATGCGCAACAAACAAATATGCCAACAAATCAACAACAACATTTTTCTGTATTTTTTTAAAGTTTTCTTTCCTCGCTTCCCCCAGTAGGGTTGGGGGTCCGGTCCGAAGGATCGAGTCGGGCATAAAATTTTGGCTCGAAAAAGACTCGATCGGACCGGCCCAATAAAAATGACTCGAACGTCGGCCCGACTCGAAAACCCCAACCGTATTTCCCCAGCGTTGCTTAACTTACCAGATCGGACACCATTTATTTGTCTTTTCCCTGACTTTTTTCTTACGCTGGTTTTCTTTTTATTTTCGAAAATTCACAAAAATCCTCTAGACCATCTATATGGATTTTCCGGTTTTTCCCCAAAATCTATTTAGAAATCTTCTATTCATCATTATTCTTTTATAGCCTTCACAACGTCAACAGCAACAACAATTACAACCAAATCCTGTCTCTCCTCAACAACAGCAATATATTCAGCAAAGGCAAATTCCTTATGGAATTGTCCCTCCTCATGTTTATGTTGCCCAACAACAACCACAACAACATTCTCACAGTCAACAACAACAAAATTCTTTAATGGCTGCTCCATATGGATTTTCTGGTTATTTTTTATTTTTAAAGACTTGCCCCGTATTTGCAGAGAGGGAATAAATAAAAATAGCCCATCTTAGGGTTGGATGGTAGCACAGTTAGTTGTGCGGTATAGGCCATGGATGGGCGAAAAAAAATTTTTCGTTCAGAAGAGAAACAAAATTAAAGGGAAAAGGGGCAAGAAGGAGCGATCGTAACAAAATTTTCCCCATTCCTGGTCTGGGCTCATTCCATGATGGTTTTATCCCATCTTCCATCCAATAATTTTTCCACTGAATACTTTGAAAATAAAATTTTCTAGGCCAACCAAACGCCCTTTATGGAGGACAACCAACCCCACAGGGTTTTAATCCTCAATCTTCAGCACAAGCACAAATGTATCATCATCATATGATGCAACAACAGCAGCAACAACAGCAAAATCATTATCAACCACAAGTAGCACCTTCTCCACATTCAAACGTTCAACAAAACTCGCAAACTAGTGGAGGGATTCAACATCAAAGATGAATTTAAATTTTCGTGGGCAATTTAAATCTCTTTAAAAATAACCTGTGTATTTTTCACAAAAAATATTTTTTATTTTTTTAGATGCTATTTTTTAAAATTAAATTTTTCAAAAATATTTTCAAAATTTTTTTTATAAATTTGTGATAAAATTAAAAAAATTTTTTTTTCGTTATTTAATATGAAAAAACAATTTTTTTTCATTTAAAAATATTATGGCAGGTAGCAAGTATTAATAAAAAATAACAAAATTTTTTAGCTCTTAAAAAACATTTTTCTGTACACAAAGCAGACACTAACCGCAACCACCTAAAGATTAAAAATTAATTTTTATATTTAAAAATAAAATTAACCACATCCACCGCATCCTCCACAACCACCTGTGAAAGTCAGAATTAATTTTAAAATTTTTTAGAGTTTTTAATTTACCACAACCGCCGCAAGCACCGCAGGCTCCACAAGCACCGCATGCACCTTTATTAGTGTTTTAGATTAATTTGAAAATTTTAAGGTCTATATTTTTAATTTTGGGGAAATGGGCATTTTTCTTCATTATGACAATTGGAAATTTTTTGAATGATTTTTTGACCCATAAGATTAACCCTTCCCTTTGGGATTTCCATAAGGTCAACATTGGGCCCAACCCATAAGATCGCCCTCTACACGTATCAAAAACCCAACTCATCCAACAGATGAGTTAGGGGTTTTTGCCTGGGTCGAGCCGTTTATTAATAAAAATCGTACCACATGCAGAACCACCAGCCCCATCTCCCCCTCCATCACAACCACCACCACCCCCTTCAGCACCACTGCACATATTCATCAACAAAAGTGGCAAAAATTCTGTTCCGCCAAAATCGTGGTGATGTCTTTGTGCTGCACTTATTAAACGATTTGTGGGTAATGAACGGCCTGAAAATATCTTTAAAAATTTTAAAAAATTTTCCTCACCATAGCCGCATGCAACAGTCATAGGCCAACGTTGACATTGATGGCCAATTTTGTTGGTATCTTTTACACTGCGTACCTTATCTGAAAAATATTTCAATAAAATTTGTTTGATGCCCAATAAAGTGAAGTATAGACAAATGGGGTCAAAGGGCAAAAAAGACAAAATGGTACTTAGGGGCAAAACAGACAAAATGGTACTTAGTGGCAAAACAGACAAAATGGTACTTAGTGGCAAAACAGACAAAATGGTACATTGGGCAAAAAAGACAAAATAGTTCTCTTAAACTAAATCACCCCTCTCTAATTAAAAACCCCAAACTAGAAATAATTCCCTCTCAAAATAATTTACCCGGATTGCAAAGAATAAAAAGTGTTCCAATTCCAAAAATACAAGCCAAATGTTCAGCTGTCTGAGTTGAACGACAATGCATTCTACGACCATTTAATTGGGCTTGGGCATCTTTTTTAATTAAAAAATTAAAAAAAAATCTTTTCAAAAAATACCTCCAATGCTGAAGACCGTTGATCCATTCGCTCCAGGGAGTTGGAAATTTTGAACAGTATTCCTCAGCAAATTGAAAAGTTCTACATTTAATGCGCCTGGAGAGCCGCTTATACCCTATAAATTAAAGAAAAATTTACTTTCGAATTTTTTGATATTTTGTTCGTTTTTAGGGCCCTGTGACCCTTAAGATCCAAAAACAGAATTGAGATCTTTCATCTACTGCTGGACCTTTCATCTACTGCTGGACCTTTCATCTGCTGCTGGACCGTCTCCACCAAAACTTATTAAGAGCAGGCCTGCCCCTTGGCTACGGCTCTAGATAAGGGTGGCGGTTCCTCAAACTGAGCTATACAAGAATCGAGATCGAAATCTTGCAAAATCTCAATTCTCAATACCCGAGATTTTTCGGTATCTTGTCTCGGTCACGTCTCTACCCAAACTCGTCAAGAAAAAATAACTCGCCTTATGATACCGATCCCCAGCCTGTTTCCTCACAAATCCTTGCCAACGCCCTTTTAAAATAGCAAAATCCCCATCACGATTAAGGACAATAAATGCCCTTTCATCTGCTGCCGGGTGAGAAATGTTTGGGAGAAATTGCAAATTTTCATCCAATTGTTGTTTTGATGGTAATGAATCTGCCCCAATTAAATGTGCCATACATAAAAGGCGTTGTTCTGTTCCAAAAACCAAAATCATTGCTTTAAAAAATTTTTTTTCTTGTCCACAAATTAAAAAAATTAAACATACAAAGTAGTAAAGGAGCACTATGAACAACTTGTACAAAATATTTTGTGCCATCTCGAACATCGACCAAACTGGAAAATAAAATTTGGCTGTAGTGTAGTGTACCGGTGGTAAAAGTTCGGGACGTGACATATGTCATTCGATTCGTCTCGGCGAGCTGAGTCGAATGGTACCACTCCCTACTTTAGGAAATGATTCTGGACCGAGTTATAGGTCCCGAAAAATTGAAAAACCAAAGGGGGGACCAAGCACTTTTTTGGAGTGAAAAATTCGAATATGCAAATAATAGCTCATTTGAAAGAGCTCATCGAGCTGAGTCGAATGACACCAAAATCATCGAAATCCGACTTGATTTGACAAAGTTATGCTCGTTTGCTTTAGCTCCTTACCTATGGTGTCCATGGAGGTTTTTGCTGCTACGGAGGCCCCAGTTACGTCTAGAGCAAGGGAAATATGAATAGGTTTATGTTACGAACCCAGACCCAGCGCCCGTAGACTCCCCGCGAGGCGCGTGCCGCAAAACTCCGCGCGAAGCGCGGAGTTTTGCACAAGCGCCTCGCCGACGCCCCATAGGTATACGTTGTTTGTTTTTGTGTCGTAACTTTGTCTAATTTTGTTCAATCAAGCTGATTTTGGTGTCATTCGACTCAGCTCGATGAGCTCTTTCGAATGAGCTATTATTTGCATATTCGAATTTTTCACCCCAAAATCGAGCTTACTCCCCCCCTATGGTTTTTCAATTTTTCGGGACCTATAACTCGGTCCAGAATCATTTCCTAAAGTAGGGAGTGGTACCGTTCGACTCAGCTCGCCGAGACGAATCGAATGACATATGTCACGTCCCAAACTTTTACCACCGGTACACTACACTATATCCTAAAATTTTTTTAATTGAGTGTTTGGGGTAACTTTAGTATTTGAGGATAAATACGACAAAATGGTACTCGCGACAAAAAACGACAAAATGGTACTCCCCGCAAAAAAAACGACAATATGGTACATAGAGACAAAACAGACAAAATGGTACATAGGCAAAAATAGACAAAATAGCCACTCACATTACATTTTGTCTCATAAAGAAAAATCTTTAACTGTCTCTCCTATTCTCTATAACATTTATTTTTTCTTTTTCACTATACTATTCTCCTTCCTCTTTTATCTTCGTAAATAGAAAACATTCTCTCTCACATATTTTCTCCTAATAAATTCTCTACCTTTTCTACTCCCCATTCATTTTAGTTTAATCGAAAATTCATTTCATTAGTTACTTTTCCATTTTTGCCATCGCTTCTCGGCCTTTTGGCTAAGATCAAAGTGTAGTATCTGTTCTTTACGGCTTAATCTCCGTAACGACCCCTACCGGGGTCAAAGAGATTAACCAATTTTTGGAAAAGGGCGTGAGTTGGAAGCTTGCTTCCTCTCTGCCGCGCGTCGGCCCGGTCTTGCACTTACCTCCGGGAACGGCGCATTCCTCCCTTATGGGAGGATTAAAATCTCAAGGTATAATCTTAGATAAAAGTAAAAGTACATTTGCTCCTTCTGTCCGGTTTTCCTGTACGTACCATATTGTCGTTTCATGCCTTATGTACCATTTTGTCTCACTTCAAGCTATCGACGTATCCGTCAAAACTTCCTAGCCTAGACAATTTTAACCAAAAAATATTTTGTTTACTTATGTAGAGCAACATATATTTTTGCTCCAGGCTGTAATTGAGCCCGATTTAAAGCCGCAGCTTGACACAAAGTCCAAAGACGGGAATCTTCTGTAGTTAACTGTTGTTCTCTATATTCCCCAGCCTGTAATTCCAATTCACGATTTAAAGACACGCTTGTTGTTATATTTATTTTTGCATGTTCTCCATTGACATTTTCCAATTGAAGTTGAACTACGTTTTGGGAAGATTTTGAATTTATGTTTGATGATATTTGGAGGGGTAATAACTTGAAAAAAATGAGGGAAATATTTATTAATTTAAAATTTTTTTTTGAATTTACCTTATCTAGTGGCAAACGGCCCTGAAAAAAATGAAAAATAAATTATTTGTTAAAAAATTTTTTTAATTAATCCCTTGGAGGCTAAACCCGTGGGGGTTGGGGGACTTAAATCCAAAAATTAACCCCAGGATGAAACCCAAGGGGATTTAAAAAAATAAATTCTAGACACCAAAGGTATGTTTAAAAGTGAAGTTTTTAATTAATTAATCTAATTTAAGGCACCCTTCGTTATAAGGTACGATTTTTTCCTAAAGAGGCCAAAACCTCTAAAAGAGAGGTTTTAGGCTGTGACAGGATGACTGTTTTGTTTATCAAAAAATATTAGAAAATTTCTCATTACTCCAAGAGGAAAAAATTTTTCAGGTTAATTCCTTGGAGACGTAAACCCTTGGGGAAGGGGGGTTGGGGGGCTTATTTAGACTGTAACAGGACGACTGTTTTGTTTTTAAAAAATTTCTCATGGTACACACAAAAATTTTTTTTCTTCTTACTTTAAGTTTAACCAAATCCCTTTTATGCAAAAAAACTTTATCAAACAATTCCAATTCCACAACAAATTCTTTTGCCGTTTTTCTTTCAAAAGGGAATTTAACAATTGAAGGGATTTGTTGTGTTGAGGAGGAAGAATTAATTATTGTTGATAAATAATTTGAATTAGAGGTTGATGGTTGTTGTTGTTGGGAAGATGTTGAGGATGTAGATGAACTTGTTGATGTTGAGGATGCTGAACCTGTTGAATTTTTTGAATGTCCATTAGCCTGCGTTTTGTTGGAAGTTGTCAAATTTTTGTTGTTTTGTATACATTTTAGACCGCATGGATTTGGTTGCCAGATAAGAGAAAATGAAGGTCTTGTTACCTTTTTTTGTTAGAAAAATTATTAGAATTTATAAAAATTTAAAAAAATGAAGAAAAACGGTACACCTCAATTGAGTCACGACTCAACTACGTCCCGGACCCTATAACTTATGAAGGGATGGACGCTTTTTGTTACTCTTGGTACCATTGGATAGAGCATTAAATAGGCTATAATATACCAAGAAATCAGAATTTTCGATTCAATGACAAAAAAGTTCTGATCGATAAAGTGCCGAAAATCAGATTTTTTGGAAAAAGGTTAGTTTTTAGACCATAACTTTTTTATTAATCAATCGATAATTTTGATTTTTTGCTATCATATAGTCCAATCAATGCTCTATCCATTGGTACCATGAACATTAAAAATGGTCAACCCCTTCTTGAGTTATAGGGCCGTGAGTCAGTTGACCTGCTCCGCATAAAGACCTCCGACTTCCTTCACAATAGGAAGTCGGAGGTCCTCGAACGATTATAAAAATCATTAAAATAAGAAACAAAAACCTGTTTATCCCACAATTGAGCACTAAATGTGCTTATCTTTTTCCCGCCATAACGAAGCTTTAGACGTAATTGTTCCCTCTGAACAGGCAATTCTTTTAATACAATTGAGGGAATATGAATATTTCCGTAAGCGAGATTGGAAGCATTATTACTACTTTCGTCATCAGATTCAAGGCAAAGAAAGGCTGGTGCATTGTGGCCACTTTTTTGAAAAAAATATAAATTTTTTATTTTGCGGACTTTTTTTTGCGGATTATTTTTGCGGACTATTTTTGCGGACTTTTTTTTTGCGGACATATTTTGCGGACATTTTCTTGCGGACAATTTTTTGCGGACTTTTTTAAAAATATTTTTTGTTACCGTTAAACCTTGAAATTTCCTGGTAAACTGAAAATTAAAATAATGGGAAAAAAGTCCGCAAATTTTGTCCGCAAAAATTATTTGAATAAAAAAAATTTTACCGAAACATACAACCTCTCCGCCAAAAATTATTTTTAAAATGAGAAGCCCAAGCTTTTTTAGTAAAAGCCTCGCCACGAAGTAGTTTACTTCCTTTGTTACGGTCATTTATAGAATCATCATGTTTGAGTAAAGAACCAAATATTGCTACACAATTCTGTAAAAAAAGTTTTTTTTAAATTTGAGTAGATTTTTTGGATTGAACTCAAGGAATGAGTTAGGGAAAGTGGTGGGGAATCCCTGGGAATAGTCTTAGTAAAAATCCAAAAATTCTGCCTGGAGTTGACTGATTGTGAGACTGGGATCCCACGAAAAATCAGTCGGATTTGGCTCGCAGACATTTGCGGACTGAGATTTGCTGACTGAAACTTGCGGACATTTCTGGTTTTAACCATTTTCGGAATCAAAAAACGAATTGGAAAGGAGGGGAATCCTAGTCCCAAAATCCAATCCAAAAATGAATTTTGTCGGGAGTTAACTGACTGGCATGAGAGAGCGGCATTTGCGGATTTACACTTGCGGACATTCCCCGCTTTAATAAATTTTTCCGCAAATTTCAGCCCACAGATGTCTGACAGCCAGGACGTTTTATTTAAAATTTAAAAAAAAATAAAAAATAACCCTAAAATAATCTTCTGGATGGACTTGATGTTTTACACTTGCGGACATTCCTCCTTTATTAAATTTTTCCGCAAATTTTAGTCCACAGATGTCTGACAGCCAGGACGTTTTATTTAAAATTTAAAAAAAAATAAAAAATAACCCTAAAATAATCTTCTGGATGAACTTGATGTGTATGCCAAACAAGATCAAAATCATAACAAGGAGTTAAAAATTGGTCCGAGTAAGTTTGTTTTAGTTGAAGAAAATTAATATAACGATCAATTGCATCATTTAAAAAACGTGGAGAAGTATAATGAGGTAAAGATATCTTTAAAATAATTTAGTAGATATTTTGGAAAAATAAAGGCGAATCTCGCTATAAGATACTCCATTGAAGCTGAAAATTTTACCATATAAAGTGGGGGGTCTTAAATAGGAGGTCATAGTGAAGGTAGTGAAGGTCACACGGCTAGGATTGGCGGATCTGGGAAATTTAATTCAATGACATTCGAAATTTGCGGACAGTGAAAAAACTTGCGGACAAAATTTGCAGACAAACGTGCAGTCCTTTTAACCGGCCAGTGGGCACATCACAGTGGCAAACCTAACGTTACTATAAAAACGTATCTTAAATTGAGGAAGATGTACCCAATTTTAGAGGGGTATCTTATAGCGAGACTCGCTGTATTTTTTGTTTTCCCCATCAAAAAATTAAAAAAAAAACTTGATAATTAAAATTCCTCTGCCTTTGAACAGCTTCAACAATATCATATTTACTTTTTTGTTTGTAAGGTTTAGATGAACTTGATAAAAATTCATAAGGCTCTTCAGGGCAAAAGTTGTTCCACGCTGAGACTGACTAAATTTAATTATTTGAAAAATATTTTAATTACAAAGGTTTACTTGTTCATAACGTTGTTGAATCTGAAAATTAATTTTTTAAATTTATTAAAATGATAATTTGAAATTTGCGGACATCAGAAAAATTGCAGACAAAAAAAATTGCGGACGAAAATTTGCGGACAAAAATTTGCGGACAAAAAATTTGCAGACAAAATTTGCGGACAGCAAAAAAATTTGCGGACAAAAATTGCGGACAAACACGTAGATTTCTTGAAACGGCCCTTAGTTATCCAACTATTCAGTAACTATTTTAATTTCATATTACAAAACAAAACTTAGCGGAGTCCGCAAAAAGATGAGGGGTTGTCCGCAAATATCAGAGTCCGCAAAAAGCTTCCCCCAATTAAAAAAATAACCTCATCAGCACTCAACAATTTGTGGTCTACCACAGTACCACAAATTGCTGCACAATTGCAGACAAAAAAAATTGCGGACGAAAATTTGCGGACAAAAATTTGCGGACAAAAAATTTGCAGACAAAATTTGCGGACAGCAAAAAAATTTGCGGACAAAAATTGCGGACAAACACGTAGATTTCTTGAAACGGCCCTTAGTTATCCAACTATTCAGTAACTATTTTAATTTCATATTACAAAACAAAACTTAGCGGAGTCCGCAAAAAGATGAGGGGTTGTCCGCAAATATCAGAGTCCGCAAAAAGCTTCCCCCAATTAAAAAAATAACCTCATCAGCACTCAACAATTTGTGGTCTACCACAGTACCACAAATTGCTGCACAATCTTCTCTATAAGAAACAGGAGAGAGCATATGAACATGCCAAACCCAATGTACATCCAATGGGGGAATGTTGAGTAAATCTGGCTTGGAGGCCTAGAAAATTTCAAAAAAATTTTCAAAAATTTTCAAAAAAACCTGTGCCGGTAACCAAAAACATTCATATCTTCTAATTGCATTAGCTACAACAATTCTGTCATAAAGTACCGGCGCCTTTCTGTCAATCATTCTGAGGAAGTTTATTTCTCGTTGACAAGCAGTTAGCAAGTCTATTGTTATACAGTTACGCTGTAAATTAAAAGAAAATTATTAAAAAAAATTTTTTTGACAGCCACAACAATATCTTTACGTTAGGAACATAACAAGGTCCGAAAAAGTGTTTGGAAATTATGGGATTACGATGAAATTAAAAAAAAAACAGCCTTCATCCTCAAATTTATTGGCAATTTTTACTTGGCAAATGTCGTTTTTTCCCCCTGTTGGCAATTTGTCTGCGCATGACAAAATGTCGCTTTTCTCCCTTGCTGGCAATTTGTCTAAGTGCGCATTTAACGCATACAGAAGAGAGCAGAAATAGAGGAGAGTAGAGAAGAGATAAAAAATAAAAGAGAGAGAGAAAGGTAAACAAACAAGAATATTTACAAAGCAAGCACAGCGACACTTTTCTCTAATAAATTTTCATTCTTGTATATATAATGAAAAGATGAGTGGAATAATGTTCATTCCAAATGGACATATACTAAAATTGGAACAATACAGAGAAGATTAGCATGGCCCCTGCGCAAGGATGACACGCAAATTCGTGAAGCGTTCCAAATTTTTTGTCATATTATTGCGCAGAGGCCAAGCTATTCTTGTCCGCATTGTTCCAATTTTAGTTATGTCCTTGGAATGAAACATTATGACGATAAGTCGTTCTGTTATATATACGTACTAGGATGAAAATTTATTAGAGATAAGTGTTGCTGTTCTTGGATATGTTTAGCCTTGGCTTTATCCCCCTTCTCTCTCTCTCTCTATCTTTTCAAGATCAGACTCAGGGCTGTGCGTTTTGGCGTCCATTTTTGGCCGATTTTTGGCGTTTTGCGTTTTGGCGTGCTTTTAAAATTTAGAAAATTGGCGTTTGGCGCGCCACGCGAAAATTTTGGCCACAGCCCTGACCAGACTAGAGCTGCTTTGAAATTTAGCGTTTTCTTGAAAAAACAGCTCTGGGCCAGATCTTACAGACCCCAGAGTCTGCATTAATTCCCCTTCCCCCCACAAAAATTTTTAAAAAATCCCCATTCAATTACCATTTGTTCATGTGTCGATTTTAATGATGGAACTAATATTTGTTTAAAATCAACATCTTGTTGAGGAACAAATATAGTGTTATTATTAATTATTTTATTATTATTTTTATTTTCCTCATTTTGTGGGTGTTTTAAATTATTATTTTGTGTTGAAGTTTCAACACCTTTTGAAGTTTCAGTTGATTCATTACCCATATTTTTTTTAGAAAAATCTTTTTAAAAAATTAAAATTTAATAATCAGTTCCAGAAGTAGGTATGACTATTGGAGATAACTCCGGAGTCTGGGCCAAAATTTGGAAATGGTTTGAAACGGAAAACGCACAATATCTAGCACTGAACAGTCAGTACTGATCAGTTGATGAGTACTGATCATTTAAAGAGGAATTAACTGTCTGATTAAGCAAAAGAGCTGTAAATAACAGTAAGAGAACCTTAATTTATTATCTCCTTACCTAATCAATTTAAAAAAGAACATTTAAATTGTTTCAATATTTAAGAAAAAAAAGTTATTATTGACTTAAATCAATGCGCTCATGTGTAAAATTAATTAAAATTTTAAAAAAGAAAGTAAAAAAAACTTTGGTAAAAAATGAATTAATAAGGGCTCTAGTTTAGGACATGTGTCCCCTAAGCGTCTAATCAGAGTAAATGTTTCCCAAAAATGATGTCTCAAAAAATCACCGTATACGCGTTCCTTCAAAGTTAATCCTATCAAAGAATTAAATTAGTAGGGATGTCCAAGATGGAAAATTTTCCAAGGCTCTAACTCGAGACCAAGACTGGACTGGACTCCAAGACCTTAACCGAAAAACCCCCAAGAAAAGTCTCAAGTCCTGACATAGGTCAAGAGGCTTTGACTAGGGCTCGGTATTTTTGAAAAGCCTGGGCCTGTTCCTGGGTTTGATTTATTGACCTGGTCCGGATCCTGGGTCTGTAATCCAGGAAAAACCCAGGCCCAGGAAAAACTCCAGCAAGTTCAAATAATGCCTGGGCCTTGACTCTGGGTACAGGAAAACCCCAGGCCTTGGTCCAGCCCCAGGCCTTGGCCCAGCCCTAGGCCGATCTCTAGCTTGGACGTCTCTATAAATTAAAAAAAGACGGAAGTAAAAATCCCCCCAAAAAATAATAAAAAATAAATTAAAAAATAAATTGTGGCCTACTAATCGATCTCCCTCTTTCTTTTGACATTCCTTCAAAAAAAACAACACAATTTTATATTTTAAGCTTTTCTGGAGAGAAGCTTTAAGGGTCGAGTGTATTAAAGAAGAAAAAATAAAGGCAATCCAGTCAGTCAGAGGAAAAAATAAATAAAAAAATCCTTAGGGCACATTTCTTCTCAGGAAATTTTCTTTCTTCTTCCTTTCTTCCCTATTTTTATATTAGCCACAAAAAACCTTTTTTATTCACTTATTTTTTTTAAAAACTAGGCAAGTAGCACATCAATTTGCCTTATGTTTTCCTTTCTTTCTTTTGTTCTCTTACCTAAAAATCCCGGCTTTTTCAGAGATCCAGAAGATCAACTTTTTAATTATCCAGACGGTTAGAGTCTGGTAAAAGTTCCGTTAGAGTCTCAAAATAAATCTAGTAGGTAGAGATCGGTACGGGACGGGACCCAGTACGGGATTTTACGGGATCCCGTTCCGGAATCCCGTGTTTTTAGCGATAAACGGGATTACTGGATTAACCCCGCGGGATCCCGTCCCGTACAAAATTTTGAAAAAAACCCCGTTACGAGATCCCGGGAATGCGATTTTACCGACCTCTAATATTAGGGCCTACAGTGGAGTTTCATATTAGTCATATCGAATTCTCATATTAGAGCCTATTAGAGTCTCACATTAGTCTCACATCAGGGTCCATTAGAGTCTTAAGACACCATAGCATGTTAACGCTGACTCTAATGTGCTTTAATGGTCATTAGAGCCCCGCGGGTAATATCTCATTCGAATACACTTTCAGACTCATTAGCTAATTTTTGCATAATTTTTACGGAAATATTCTAGTAAAATGTGAAATACGAGAAGAATTTTTAAAAAAATTTATTCAAGCTTAAAGCCAATTAGAGTGAAAAAAGAGATAAATTATGTGTGTAGGTGGGAAAATTGTGTGTGTGTAATTTTTGAATAAATATGGAAGAAAATAGGGATTTTTAAATTTAATTTAGGGAGGAATAAAAGGCCTTTTTAAAAAGTAAAAAAATATAATTGTTCAAGAAATTCCAAAAAAAATATTTTTTTGGTGGAAAAGATTGGAAGAATTATTGGGGTGAAAAATGGCATTTGACAAGAATTTTAAAGGGAAAGGCTAGGGTTCACCTTAGCAACACACTGAAAGTCATGTTTTTCTAATGTAAAAAGATGCGCTGAGTTCAAAAAACACTATAAAAATACTCAAAACGGTGCTCGAAGGCATTTTTTCCCGGATTTTCAGACCTCTGAAAATCGAAAACCAAAGGGGGGACCAAGCTGATTTTTGGGGTCAAAAATTCGAATAGGCGAATTATAACTCATTCGAAAGAGAACGACGAGCTGAGTTGAATGACACCAAAATCAACGAAATCTGACTTGATTTGACAAAGTTATGACCGTTTGTTTTTACCCCTTCCACAAGGTTTTCGCGGAAAAAAGTTTTTGCCGCTGCGGAGGAAGCCGGGCATGTCGAGCGGAACGACGGCCGCCGCTTCGCTACGGTCGCCGCGAGCGTAGCGAGCACGACCGCAGCGAAGCACGGCCATCGTGTAGCGAAGACCATGCCCGGCCTACCCTCCGTAGCAGCACAAAAACAGTTTTTCCAGCGAAGATTCTGTTGGTCATAACTTTGTTCATAATCATCCAATCGAGCTGATTTTGGTGTCATTCAACTCAGCTCGTCGAGCCCTTTCGAATGAGCTATTATTTGTATATTCGAAATTTTGACCCCAAAAATCAGCTTGGTCCCCCCTATGGTTTGCGATTTTCAGGGGTCTGAAAATCCGGGAAAAAATGCCTTTGAGCACCGTTTTGAGATCTTTTATAGTGTTTTTTGAACTCAGCGCATTTTATTACACTAGAAAAACGTGTTTTTTGTTGTGTTGCTAAGGTGAACCCTTACCAAGGGAAAAATTTGAAAAAAATCTAGAATTAAATTACCCTTTTTTGGAAAATTAATACAGTAATATTAAGGGAAAATAAAACAATAGGAATCTAGAACGACATTTGCGAGCACATACCAAAAAACGACATTTGCGAACAGCGACCAAATAACGACATTTGCGCATACCTACCAAAGAACGACACTTGCGAACACCCACCAAAGCACGACATTTGCGAACACCTGCTAAAGGACGACATTTGCGAACACCCATCAAAAAAAAGACAGTTGCGAACACCTACCAGAGAACGACACTTGCGAACACTCATCAAAAACGACAATTGTGATCACCCACCAAAGAACGACATTTGCGAACACCCACCAAAAAACGACATTTGCGAACACCTAGCAAAGGACGACATTTGCAAACACCTACCAGAGAACGACATTTGCGAACCCCCACCCAGTTTTATAAGTTTAATTACCCAAGTTTAAGCTTAAGTTAAAAGTTAATAACTTATGGAAATCGATAATTCATCTAACATGTCAACACCGCTAACTATTAATGGTATTAACAACAAAAAACTGAAATTACATCAATTATCTAAAAAATTGACTAATTTCTCTGAGCAATTTTCAAAAGATATGCCACCATGGGCGGCAGCAATGTTAGAAATTTGTAATTCAGTAATGGAATTATGTAAGGATATTCTTACAAGTGAACAAGAACAACAACAATCAGAAACGAATCCTAAATCTTTATTTGGAGACCCTTTCTCTGCTAGCAAAAAACATCAAAATTCCTCTTTTAATGATCAATCATATTTTGCCAACATATTAAACAACGCTATTCTTGATGCTGACGAAATTAAATCTAAATCTAAAAGAGTGGTTATTGAACGTGCTCCAGACAACACAGACATCATTAATATAGCTAAAAAAATTGCTGCTGATTGTGGAGTGGCAGAAGATTTGTTGGAAAACGAAATTCATCGTCATCCACGTGAGTCTAAAGATGTTATAAATAAAAAACCAAGAATCGTTAAAATTCCATTCACCAACAAAAAATCTAGGGATAACTTTTTATACAATTTTCGTAAATGTCTTAAGAAAAATCCAGCTTTTCCGCAGTTCATAACTGCAAGACGTGATATGACTCGTAATGAACTAAATATATTGTATAACTTGCGAAAGCAAGCATTTTCTATGAATCAGGCCGAGAACATGTTTAAGTACATAGTTGTCGACCTGTCAATAATTACACTCAAAAATCCACAACCGCTCAGGGCAACCAAAAATAAATAGGGACACGCAGGCAAACCGCAGACAAAAGTAAATAACGGAAATTTTCAATCATATAAATGTTTGTTATTTAATTCTAGATCCCTAGCTAATAAAATACCGGATTTAAATCAATTAATCGAAAATTCTAATCCACAAATTATATTAATCAATGAAACATGGCTCACAACAGAAAATACAATAAACTCCGAACTATCACATAGGGGTAATTATGAGATTATATTAGCTAATAGAATAGGAAAAAGAGGTGGAGGATCGGCAATCTTATTAAAAAATGACATACCATTTAAAATAATTTTTAATGGCTCTAAATTCCAATCAGAGATAATACATATAAAATTATTTCTCAAAAAAGAAATTAACATTATAAACATTTACCGCCCACCAAATAGTTCAATTATTAATACAAAAAAATTATTTAAGTTTCTTTTAAATCTAACTGATCAAAAAACAATATTATGCGGAGATTTTAATATTAGACACATAAATTGGGATTCTAAAGAATTAACCGACAACTATGACAAGATCGCGAATATGTTTTTAGAGTTTATAGGTCAAAATCAATTAAATCAACTTGTTACTGAACCTACTAGAGAAAATTCAATCCTGGACCTGGTACTCACACCTGCTTCCAATTTAGTCAGAAATGTTTATGTTAGGGAGAATTTTTCAACTTCCGATCACAAAATGATAGAGTTTGAGTTATATGATCAGATCAAAGTCTTTAGAAAACCAAAAATTTATGTCAGAGATTTAAGTAAATCCAATTTTAATAAATTGAATCAAGTTATTTTTAAGAATAATTTAGATCTAGGTATATTAACTAAGTTCACTGTAGAAGATAAATATGATTTTCTGACGAAAGAATTGTTATATCTTTATAACAAATATATACCAATGAGAACTTTGAATAAGATAATAAGGAAAACATACCCTAAACGGATTAAGGAATTACACAAAGAAAAACTTAGATTATTCAGAGTCCTTAAAGAAAGAAAACATGATCACGAGTTGAAACTTGAGTATAAAATCGTTTCAAGAAACTTGAAAAAACAATTAAAAATTCACCATAATACTAAGGAAGAAAAAATAATAAATAAAGGTGGAACTTCGATACATAAGTTTATTAGAAACAGACTTACCCAAGATAATAACATACCCTGTTTAATTGATAAAGAAAATAAATTTTACTTTAGTAATGAAGAAAAATGTAATATTTTAGGAAAAGAATTTCAAAAAAACTTCCAAAATAAAAATATTAATCTATCGAATTATAACAGAAATATAATTCCGAAAACAAAATTTTTAGACATAGATTTAAGTACTAGTATTGTGTGGGATGTCCTCAGATCACTTCCTAATCGTAATTCAACTTCTCCAGATAACATTCCTTATATATTATTAAAATATTGCGCTGACACACTTGCAAAGCTAATCACAGATATCTTTAGATGTATTATTGATAATGGGCAAATTCCATCAATTTGGAAATCATCATTTATTATTCCATTGTATAAAAAGGGAGAAAAATCAGATCCAAAAAATTATCGTCCAATATCGCTAACATGCACCTTATGTAGGGTTCTTGAAAGAATTATTGCACAGCAATTAACAAAATTCTTAGAAGATAATAAGTTCTTTAATAAAAATCAATTTGGATTTCTTAAATCAAGATCCACAACCACACAGTTATTATCTACCATGGATGATTTCTATAATGCAATACAAGATGGATATAGCATAGATATTATTTATATAGACTTTGCTAAGGCATTTGACACTGTACCAATAAATATTCTTTTAGATAAATTAGAAAAGGCAGGCATAAGTGGAAAAGTTTATACTTTTCTTAAAAACTTCATATCGGATAGGAATTTCAAGATTAAGATAGGTGACCAATTATCCCAAAACTATGAAACATTATCGGGTGTACCTCAAGGAAGTGTCTTAGGGCCACTTTTATTCCTTATTTTTATAAATGATCTTCCTAATGAAATCCCTGAAAATGTTGGAGTAAAACTATATGCAGACGATGTAAAATTATATATAGCTCATAAAAACGGCATAGAAAGAGATCAACTTAATAAAGCTTTATTTAAACTTGAAAAATGGACAGAAGATAATGGTTTAGAAATATCCCCAAATAAATGCTATGTTTTATATTTAGGTAAAAATAACATGAAAAAAGAGTATAGCATTCATGGATTAAAAGTACAAGAAACAGAATGTATTCGTGATCTTGGAGTATTAATTGATTCAAAAATATCATTTAATAACCATATAAATATGATTATAAAAAACGCATATCTAAAGAGCTTCCAAATAATAAGAATAATTAAATCTAGAGATTTAAATCTCCTCGTTAATATATATAAAACATATATAAGATCCCAACTAGAATATGCAACTGAAGTATGGAATCCACAAATGAAATATCAAATAGATAAAATCGAAAAAATCCAAAAACTATTCACTAAAAATATTTACAAAAAATGCGGCTTAGTTAAGGTCCCATATGAAGAAAGATTAATTACCTGTAAACTCGAAAAGTTAATAGATAGAAGAAAGGTTGCCGATCTATCCACCGCCTTTAAAATTATAAAAGGCTTTACATCTCTTAATTCCCTAAAATATTTTAATTTATCAAATAGATCTCTTCGCAGGCCTCTACTTCTTAGGACAAAAAAATATATAAATAGAACAAAAAATAATTTTTTTCACAGAGTGGTAAATAACTGGAATAATCTTCCAAATGAGTCATTTAAATTAACTGATCCGAAAAAATTTAGAAGTTTTATTAAACAGTATTTTAATGATAAAGTAAAATACTAAAGACATAAAACCCTAGCGTGTGTGTTTTTTTAGAGTGTTTTTTTACTATTTTCTTATACATATTTTTTAATTTTTTTAAATTTATTCATGTTTTTGCTTGTTGTTTTTTCACATATTTTTTCAATTTGTATATTTTTTTATGCACCACTTTAATGTATTTTAAAATACCTGTGGTTTGCTGATAAATAAATAAATAAATAAATAAATAAATTAAATAAAATTTTGTGAGGGTATTGGCTACCAAAATGAGGTGCTAGGCTATACTTTATTTTTAAGAAAAACTTTCCGGAAACGTATTTTCTTGTTATGAATTTTCCGGAAGCAAGAAAGAATAAAATAATTTAATAAAAAATATTTTTATTTACTTTGACTGACAGCTACTTTTATTTTATGCTACAAAAAAAGGAAAAAATAAATAAAGGAAGAAAATGTGTACGTTATTGCGTGGGAGAAAAAATTATTTTTGAATGAAAAAAATTTTCTTAAATTAAAAAAAGAAATTTCTTTAATTTTAGGGAAAATAATGAGGCTGTGCGACATTTGATGACTTGCGACATTTGCGAACATTTATCTTATATCTTTATTTAAAGAGGTGATTAAAACAAAAATAGTAAAAGAAGTCGACTCTCGGTTGCACGTGCACATTTAGGTCTCAAGAATATGTACGTAAAACAGAGGTGTATGTAAAATTGGAGGTATTTAGATAGTTTCCTCCAATAGCTTCCCCATTCACCCAGTGGGCAATTAACATTTAAAAATTGTCCGTACAATTAGAGAGGGGCTTAAATTTGTGTGTAAGTACGACCGATATCTGATGGATATACTGGACATGACTTGATAATCGTTTGTTCCAATTTCAATATTCAATAGTGTTTGTCCGCAAATGTCGGTACACAAATGTCGAGTAGCTAGCTATTAAAGGGGAAAAATAAAAATTCAAAAAAAATATTTTTTTTATTAAAAAATTATCTCAAGTTTTTGTATTATTAAATTCACAATTTTTATCGTTTAATTTTGCCAAAATATATTTTGTTGGATTACTACTTGTTTTAGTCGCCTTAACATTTATGTCCAACTTCAAGGCAAATATACCTGGATAATCGTCAAGTAATGGATATAAAATTGATTTGTGCATTTTTGTTTGTTTGAAATACGCAAAAGAAATATCGTCAGCCTTGATTAGTTTTTCTAAAAAATTTTTTTTAATTTTTAAAAAATTTTTATTTGAAAAAGTGCGACATTTGCGGACAACGACATTTGAGAACAAGACAGTTGAGAAAGCGACATTTGCGAACATTCATTAAATTTTCTATATTATGGCATAAATGGTGTGACATATGTCAAAAAGTTCTTAGACTATGATGCCTGTCTTTTGACCTTATTTCAATGAACTTTTGTTTTGTCCGCAAAATATGTCCGCAAATTTCGCTTTTTAAATTAAAAATAATTTACTATTAATTTCATCATTATGGCCAGACAGAAAAGTTAAAAATTCGTTTGGATTAATTGGATGATACAATTCTAATTTTTCTCTAAAATTGAAAAAAAATTTTAAAAAAAATTTCAAAAAATTTTTAAAAATTTTTTGAAATTTCAGAAAATTTCAAAAATTTTTTTTTGAAAATTTTTTCAAATTCCAAACCCCTGCTTAAAAATATCAGCTTGTATCTGCACAATTTTCTTCTCTCTTTTCCCCTTATAAAATACTCGAATTCCTCT